AGAAGGGGGCTTGGGGGAGGGACGGGAGGAGGGGGAGCGGGGGAGGGGTGCAGGGCGGGAGGAAGGCGGACGGGTGGGGCAGGACGGAGGAGCAGGAGGAAGAGGAGGGGTGGAGGGGAACGGGACGAGGAGGGGCGGAGGAGGAGGAGCGGGGGAGGGTTCCAGTGGGACGGAGGGGCAGCAGGAATACGTAGCACCCCGCAATTGCGGATAAGAGTGAGGGGGCGGGCGCGGGCGACGCGGGCGTCGTCAAGCCAGCGGACCTCGTGGCCCCCACCTTCCTTGTCGATGGCGCTCTCCTCCTCCTCGTCCTCCTCCTCCTCCTCCTCTTCCTCGTCTTCGTCCTCGTCCTCATCGTCATCGTCGTCCTCCTCCTCCTCCACCTCGTCCTCCTCCTCTTCTTCCTCGTCCTCCCTCTCCCCCCCTCGTCCTTCCATCATCGTCCTCCCATTGTCGTCATGTTCCTCCTCGTCGTCCTCCTCTCCTCTTCCCCCCCTCCCGATCCTCCCCCCTCCTCCTTCGTCGTCGTCGTCGTCGTCGTCCCCTTCCTCCTCCTCCTCCTCCTCCTCCTTCTCCTCCTCCTCCTCCTCGTCCTCCTGCAAAAGCAGCCCGCCGCAGGCGCCGAAAAATTGGTTTGTACACTGAACGTGGTTTGGGTCGCGGGTGGGCCGCGGGTTCTCCACCGGGAACGAATGCAAAAGATGCCCGCCGCAGGCGCCGAACAATTTGGTTTGTACCCTGAACGTGGTCGCGGGTGGGCCGCGGTCTCTCCACCTAGAACGAATGCAAAAAATGCCCGCCGCAGGCGCCGAAAAATGTGGTTTGTACCCTGAACGTGGTTTGGGTCGCGGGTTGGTCGCGAGTTGGTCGCGGGGTGGGTCGCGGGCTCTCCACCTGGAAGGAATGCAAAAAAGCCCGCCGCAGGCGCCGAAAATTGTTGGTTTGTACCTTGAACGTGGTTTGGGTCGAAGGTGGGTCGCGGGTGGGTCGCGGGGGGGGTCGCGGGGTGGGTCGCGGGTGGGTCGCGGGTGGGTCGCGGGTCGCGGGGTGGGCCGCGGGGGTGGGTCGCGGGGTGGGTCGCGGGGGGTGGGTCGCGCGGGTGGGTCGCGGGTGGGTCGCGGGTGGGTCGGGTGGGTCGCGGGGTGGGTCGCGGGGTGGGTCGCGGGTGGGTCGCGGGTGGGTCGCGGGTGGGTCGCGGGGTGGGTCGCGGGTGGGTCGCGGGGTGGGGTACGGGTGGGACGACGACAACAAACAACAACCAACAACCAACAAACAACAAACAACACACAACAACAACAAACAACAAACAACAAACAACACACAACAAACAACCAACAACAACAACACCAACAACAACACCAACAACAACAACAACAACACCAACACCAGTTACAACAACAACAACACCAACAACAGCACCAACAACAACATCAACAACAACAACACCAACCACAACAATAACAGCAACACCACCAACAACAACACCAACAGCACCACCAACAACACCACCACCAACAACAACACCAACAACAACAGCAACAACAACAACACGAATCCGCACCGCGGAATCCCACTTCAGCCACGCACCCAGGGACAGTGAATGACCGTTCGGCCCCCTCACTCTGATGATTAATTGGTGGAGGATGAGGAGAAGGGGGAGGAGGAGGGAGGCCGTGCGCACCGTCGGCCCAGCTTCCCGCGGAGGTCTGTTCCCGAGCAGCCGCTGGAGCGGGTGTCGTACTTGGCGGGCGCGCCCGCTTCTTTCTCAGTCCCTCCTCCTTTCCTTCTGCTTCGCCCTCGTCCTCCTCCTCCTCCTCCTCCACCTCTTTCTCATCCACCCTCCTTCTCCGTCCCGCCTCCCTCTTCCATCATCCTTCTCCTCCTCCTCTCAGGTGCGGTTCGAGCGGCTCACACGAACCGATATTGAACCAGCACCAGCTTTTGCCCTCCCAGGGCCACATACATAGGAATCATCGCGCCTTCCCTCTCTTCAAGGGCCCAGTACATGTCCAACTTTGAACATTCGTGGCACCGCAGACAGCGGACCAGTCATGCATAAGCTAGAGTTCTTCTCAGGATTATAGAAGCGCAGATGCCGATCAAGGGACACTACGCGTCGCCTCAGCTCTGCTCTCCTCAGCATTCGCAGCCTCCGCAGTGTGATGCGACGTCGTATGCCGCACGCAATGATCGCATGTCAGCCCTTCCCTCGCCTTCACTCCATGCCACTCCTCTCTCCTCCGATTACCAGGGCAACGCCAATCAGCCTCAGACGCACTGGATTTGCCTTCAGCGCGGCAGGGCCAGCACCAAATTCGATACCTTTTGCCTGGCTTGCTGCCCTCACCTTGGCAGAGGACCTCTTTGGACCTCACCCCCTCAGGGCTCAGATGCGTCGACCGTGCACCAAGGAGGAGCCACCACAGCAGCTCAGAAAGGGCAACAAGGGATCGACGGGCAAGTCTCGGGTCATGCCCACATGCGACCAAGCTGCTGCTTGGGTCGTTGCTGTGAGCGCGATGCCAGCTCGCGCTGGAGACCCGACCGAAGGTGGAGCACCAGCCTCGCCCCAGCATGCGCAGTCCCAAGAGAGAGAGACAGGCCGCCTGGCGAAGGAGATATCCAAGTCGGACTCAGCCAAGGGACGTACAGCGGGCACCCCGTTCGGGCAGAGGCAGCGGCGACAGTTCCAGATGGAGGGGCCGGTCCCGAGCAGGCTCCCAGCCCCTTCAAGGTGGGGTCGGTGCGGGCGGGTGCAGGCTAGGGCTCCCCCCTTTCTGGCACTTCTGAGCTCGAGCGTACTCTATTTCAAGATGCAACCCAGCCCAGCATGGTCAAGTTCTGTGACTCGTTAGAGGGGGCATGCTTGCTTCCTTCACTTCAGAGGAGGCACACGCGCATCCTGCATGGATATATCCCCCAGCAGACCTGGCCAGCCTGCTGGAGCATCGCGAGGCGCCTAACGTGTGCAGGGATGCGCCACTTCTTCAGCTCAGGTCTTCCGCCCTCCTGGGCCATTCGCAGCAGAGATTCAGTGACATCCGGCGGGAGAATGCACGGGCAAATTTTCAACTTGCGAATGCTCGTGACCCTCTCGCCAACCTCGAGGAGCAGCAGGCCACTGTTTCAACGCTACAGCACAAGTACGAGCAGTTAGCAACAAAGCAGAAAGAGGCTCTCGAGCAGGCCACGACAATGCTCACATGTTTCCGCCCCCAATCTCCCATGCTGCCTGCGAAGCTGGATGTGCCCATGCGTGCGGGCCCTGCGGCGACGGAACCTGGCTCCCAGTGCGAATGGCGTCCGCTGGCGCTGCTGGTGTACCCCTTCGCTGGGTCTCAATGGCCACAGGGCAGCGGAAGTTGCGACAGGGTGCCAAGCAGCTGCGGTGGCCGCCTACCATATGGACCTGGCGGTTGCCAGTGGTCTCCGTCCCCATGCGGGCTCCAAGTGTTCTCATCGACTTGTCCACCAGGTCCGTCGGTTTCGGTCCCAGGCCGTTTTCACTAAGGGGAGGTCTATAAAAGGGAGGTTTGTCCACCGCCGAGTCGTGCAGGAGGCAACGAGAACGATCACCCAGCAGTTCACTGCAGCATTCACGGCCAGGCAGCTGGAACTGGCCCCTGGTTCGGCACCCAGTGCTCCTGGGGGGGGGGGGGGCGGCTTCGGCCTCGTAGGCAGGAGCCTGCCCACGGCAGAGGAACATCTAACAGTTTCGAGGGCTTCCTGGTGCTAGAGAGGTTATTTATCTGCCCCCTTGAGGTGTATGCTGTACCGAGCTGGCACACGCATGCAACACTTTTGTCGCTGAAGTTAACGACGAGGCAAGGGTGCTGTAGCTTTCCCAGCTTCTCAGGGGTAACGTTAGGGAGAATAGGATCAGAGAGGGATGTATCGACCTTCAATTGCCCCTTTCATCGTCCTTGCCCTCATCGTCCTCTTTCTCTTCTACTCCTCTTCCTCGTCCCCGTCGTGATCGTCGCCGTCGTCGTCGTCGTCGTCGTCGTCGTCGTCGTCGTCGTCGTCGTCGTCGTCGTCGTCTTCCTTCTCCTCCTCTTCGTTCTCCTCCTCCTCCTCCTCCTCCTCCTTCCTCCTTCCTAAACGCTCCCCCTCACGGTGCTGGCCCCCCCCTACACGCTCCACCAAATCTCCATCCCGCGCCGATCTCTGACGACCCGGGGGCCCGCGGATTTGCCGGGCCTCTCCAGACGTCGTGGTCCGGGCGCCCGCGGAGGACCTCGGGGGCCCCGTCATCGGCCTGCAGACCTCGTGCCGTCTACACACGACCTCCTCCCTCCTTCCTCCTCTTCCTTCTCCTCCTCCTCCCTCCTCCCTCCTCCCTCCTCCCTCCTCTCTCCTCCCTCCTCCCTCCTCCCTCCTCCTCCTCCTCCCCTCCTCCTCCCCCTCTCCCTCCTCCTCTCCCTCCTCCTCCCTCCTCCCCTCCTCCCTCCTCCCTCCTTCCTCCTCCCTCCTCCCTCCTCCTCTTCCTCCTCTCCCTCCTCCTCCTCCTCCCTCCTCCCTCCTCCCCCTCCTCCCTCGCGGGGCGCCCCCGCGTCCGCCGCCTCTGCGGAGGGACGAGGAGGAGGAGGAGGAGGAGGAGGAGGAGGAGGGGAGGAGGAGGAGGAGGAGGAGGAGGAGGAGGAGGAGGAGGAGGAGGAGGAGGAGGAGGAGGAGGAGGAGGAGGAGGGAGGAGGAGGAGGAGGAGGATGAGGAGGAGGAGGAGGAGGAGGAGGAGGAGGCGGGAGGAGGGGGGAGGGGGGAGGGAGGAGGGCGGAGGGGGAGGAGAAGCAGGAGAGGAGGAGAGGAACGCGGGGACCGTTTCTTCAAAACGAGGACCCAGCAGCGCGCTGGCGCCTCCGCGTCCGCATGCTCCGCCCTTGCGTGCTGCCGACGCTTGCCCCTCTTGTGCCGCTCCGCGCCCGTGCTCCCGCCGCCTCCGCTCGAGGCCGAGGCGGCGGCGCGTCTCCAGGACGCCGCAGCCCGCCCCCCCACGCCGCGGCCTGAGCGGGCCGCGGCGGCGGCGCGGCCGCGGGGCGGCGATGGCCGCGGGGCGGGCGCCCGCCCGGGCGCCCGTGGCCCTGCTGCTGGCGGCGTGCCTCGTGCCCCGGGCCGCCCCGAAGGGCTGCTTCACGGGGAGCGCCGAGGCCCCGCGGGCGAGCGAAGGGCGACGGGCCGCGGCCCAGACGTGCTCGCGCGGTATCCGCGGACTCGAAGGAGAACAACTGCACGGCCATGCGCTCTCGGAGCTCCGCGTGGATTTCTGGGATCGGCGCCGGCCCCCCCTGGCGGCGCCTCTGGCCCCTGGCGCGCTCCGCACGCCAGGGGGTGGGGTCCAGCGCCGATCCATCAAGTCCGCGCGGATCTCCGAGAAATTATGTGTATGCAGTTCTTGACTCTCTGCGGACGAAGTGTGTTCACCGTGCCGCTTTGGCGTCTTCTGAGGCGTCGTGGGTCCTCGGCCCAGGGATGGTACGGTATATGGTCTCCCGGCCCTTAGAGCCGAACTGCTAATTACGCACCGTAGCTCGTTGGAGCGGGGCTGAAGTCACCGAGCGCGTTCCACTACTCGCAGAAGTGCCTGCTCGCAAACGTCCGAAACATACATGTCTGTATCGATGTAATGTATCGTGTCTCTTTCGCGGCGGAACCAGGCCACCTGCGAGTAGTTACTTTGCGAGTAGTGGAACGCGCTTGTCTGAAGTCGGGCATGTCCCTCTACAGGAGGAATTTTACATGAATAGTCAAGAATAGTCAGGGGACGATGTTTCCTTACCTAGGCTCTGCCTAGAAGGGTTCTTACTCGGTTTGCTTAAAGGGCCGGGCAGTGCTAAGCGCCCCGGGCGGTTCCCCCAGTTGCGCTCCTTGGGTGCTCAGCAACAACAAAAGCAAAGGCAAACGTGAGAGCAAAACCGAAGGCAAAACAAAAGCATAGCATAGCATAGCATAGCATAGCATAGCATAGCATAGCGCAGCATAGCATAGCGCAGCACAGCACAGCATAGCATAGCATAGTCTAGCCTAGCCTAGCCCAGCATAGCATTGCGCATCATAGCATAGCATAGCATAGCATAGCATAGCACAGCACAGCACAGCAGAACAGAACAGAACATAGCATAGCATAGCATAGCATAGCATAGCATAGCATAGCATAGCATAGTGCAGGACAGCATCCACTATTGCTGCTGGTATATATATATATATATATGGCAGCAGGAGAAGGAGGAGGACGGCGTTTACCGCTCCTACTAATCTTGCTTTCCTAGAGGCTCCAACTCCTAGGTAGGGTCGCACTGGGATAATTCGGTTAGTTTTGATGTCTTTTGAACATTTTCGGACTATTTTTTATTTTTCTGAAATCCGCCTGTAGGAGGACAAGTCTGACCTAACGCTTGTCCGTGAATGGGGGCCAAAACATGGAGCGTTGCATGGGTGCTGTGCCGTGCCATGGCACAAAACACGACGGGAGTGTTTTTTCTTGCCGCTCTCAGCCTCCAGGGTTAAAGTCGGGCCTGTCCCTCTGCATGGGGAGTATTCAAAAATTGTGAAAACAAACATGCTTTGGGAACGATTTGTTGTTATATTTTGAAAGCCATTTTGGAACATTATTTTGGGTGTTTAGAATTTGTCGTCCAAGATCCGCCTGTAGGAGGACGTGCCCGACCTAAGTCCAGGGGCCTTCGCCGGGCCCAGACAGGAGAACGGTGCAGGGTGGAACGCCGGCGCCCCCGGAGGCAGGGTTGGGACTTCCGGGGGCCCCAAGGCCCCGATCTAGCCTTCATTTCCAGCGTTCGGGGGGGGGGGGGGTCGGGGAACATTCTGCAACAAAAACACACACGGACCCTGTACCCCCCACCAAAACCCGCAGTTCGAGCCGAATTCGGGTCTTCGGGTTGGTTTGGGGTGGTCTGGTAGGCAGTCAAGGACATGTCTCGGGGCTGGACAGAACCCCCAACAGTGACACGTCGATCAGTGAATTGTCCGTTTTCGGTTCTCGAGAGGGCGCCGTGGCGGTTCTTTTCCATCCTTGTGCTCGCCAAGTTTGGGCCTCAGGTCGTTTTCGCTAAACCGCGTTTTACGAAAGGGGGGTCTGTCCATCCCCGAAATGTCCGCGCCCGCGGCCTCGCGGGCTGTGCCCCCGGGCCGCGGCCCCGCGGGCCGTGGCACGGCCGCTCGTGGTGTGCCCGGGGACGGGCGGGCTTCCGAGGCCGCCCTCGGCCTCCCGGGGGCCGCTGCCTCGCGGTAGGGTCAGGAGGGGAAAAGCACACGGACACAACTCATCGGCGATTCCCAGAAAATATGGGAAAATATGGGAAGTGTGGGGGGGAAGATAAGCACCCAGAAAATATGGGAAAACATGGGGGATATTTTTATTTGTGTGTATTTATTTGCGTGTCCCAGTTCCCTTTCCTAGGGGCCCGGCCACAGGAATCCTTGCACGAGAAACCCAACCCTGAGACACCAGGACGTCCATTGATTTTTGGTGTGGGGACGTCACGCGTTCCATGTGATCGCTTTTTTATGCACTGTTTTGCCGATCGGCGCGGGCCCTCGCACCTCCCCCCTATGGAGCATGGAGCAGATCTTGGCAATTTTTTGCGCCTGTTTCGGGCGGGCGGAGCCTCCCCCAGAGGCAGCACTCTTGCAGGCAGTCGCACTAGGCAGAGGTCCAGAGCCAGACCCTCTCCCTCCCCCCTTCCGCCCAGTGTCGAAACGCCCCCGAAAGCAGAGGCCCAGAGCCGAGCCTTCTGCGCCACCGTAGGAGCCCGACCACGAGCATCCACAAGAAACCCAAGCCTGGAACCGCAGGACGCCCACTGACTTTGGCGTTGCAGCGTCGCGCTGTCCTTGGCGAAACCATCGGAGCCCAAGACGCCCAGGGAGGAGGAGGAGGAGGAGGAGGAGGAGGAGGAGGAGGAGGAGGAGGAGGAGGAGGAGGAGGAGGAGGAGGAGGAGGAGGAGGAGGAGGAGGAGGAGGAGGAGGAGGAGGAGGAGGAGGAGGAGGAGGAGGAGGAGGAGGAGGAGGAGGAGGAGGAGGAGGAGGAGGAGGAGGAGGAGGCGGAGGAGGCGGAGGAGGAGGAGGAGGAGGAGGAGGAGGAGGAGGAGGGGGAGGGGGAGGGGGAGGGGGAGGGGGAGGGGGAGGGGGAGGGGGAGGAGGAGGAGGTCTCGGTGGAGGCAGAGCGGGCGCTTCCTGGCGTGTGCCTCTCCGCTGCAGGGGGGGCAGGCGGCCTCCCCGTCCTGCCGCGGGCCCCGCCCGCGGCCGGTCTCGCCAGTGCGGCTCCGCGCCTCGCCCACGGCCGCCTCTGTCTCGCGTGCAGTATGGGGTGCGAGAGCGTGTGCGTAGACTGAGGGCGTCGAGTGTGGGCGCGAGTGTGAGAGGCGAGTATAGTCGGGGCGCTGAAGAAGGAACCCTTTTCGCTGGGGAGGGGCTCGGTGTTCCTCGATTGCTTCACAGTTTGCCTTCGGTTTTCCTGAAGTTTCCCATGGGGAATCGAAGTTTAACTTGTGGGAAAGAGGGGCCTCGTTCCTTAGTTAGGGTTCCTTAGGTCAACGCCCCGACTGTATGGAGTGCGGGTGTCGGCATGGCGTGTGGGCGCGAGTGTGTTCGGCGAGGGTGGGCGTCGAGTGTGGTGCGTTTAATGGCCTCGAGCTGGTGCTGGCCCTCTCAGACATACACAAGGTTCAGTCGTGGCCGTCCCTCTACGGGGGGAATGCCCAAACGTAGGCCAGCAAAGAATCGGGGGACGATCTTTTCGGCTCCTCTCGACACTCTCCTTTTGAACTTCTGGTATCTTTTTGTATCCTTCGTTCACGATCCGCCGGCAGGGGGACATGCCCGACCTGAGGGTAGGGCCCCCGCCCGCCCGACCCGCCCGCCATGGTTCGGGCTGGACGAAAGGGGGGGGATTGGGAAAGGGTGGGTTGCGAAATTTGCTGCGTGCAGCTGTTTTCGGCCTCACCGAGGGGCCCATTCCTCGACACATGGCCGCCTCCGGCGCCGGGAGGCGCTGGGAAAATCAGCTGCGTGAGCTGATTCTCCCCCCGCCCCTTTGCTATGCCCCCCTTTCGCCCGCCCGCCGTGGCCCGCCCGCCCGGCCTGCCGGTGAGGGTCCTTCTCGGCAGGCCGAGGGGCACACGCTTCACACGGGCAGAGACTTCGGAGCTCCACGGGCCGGCGAGGATCGGCGCCGTGCTTAAAAATCGGGCGTGCCCCCCCTGCAGGAGACATCTTCACAAGTAGGCAAAAAATCGTCTGAAGACGATCTGTCGACTATTGATGACCATTTTCGAGCTTCGTTTGAGTGTTCTAAATTTTTCTGCCCACAATTCGCCTGTAGGGGGACATGCCCGACCTAACGCTGGGCCCCCCTGGGCGCGCTCGGCGCGCCAGGGAGGGAGGTCCAGCGCCGATCCAAGAAATCCGCGCGGAGCTCCGAAGCTTTATGATTATGAAGCTTCTGTTCCTCTAGTAGGGGGCCTTGCATGCCGTCGCAAGTCCGTCTTGAAGGTGCATTCGCTGGCGCTGGCGTCTGGTGATCGATGGCACAACGCAGATTTAGCGTCGAGTAGCGCCGAATGAGCGCCGATTAGCGTAGATGAGCGTCGGTTGGCGTCGGTTGGCGTCGATTGAGTCAGCAAGATGACATGGGATGCCACAGACGGGTCCGCACGCGGCTTGCTCGCTGGCAAGCCCGCCCGCTCGACCCCGCTCACTGGGGCCCCGCCCGCTCGCCCCCGTCCCGTGGGGGTCCCTCCACCTGGGCCCGCCCGTGATGGTCCGCTCGCTCGCCCGCCTGCTGCAGTGTCCTGCCCGCCCGACCCGCCCGTGAGGGTCCCGCCCGACCGACCCGCCCGCCAGCCTCCCGCCCAGTGCGAAACCGGCCCGGGGCGAATTTGCCCCGGGCGATGGCGACTCGGGCGCCCCTGCCAGCCCCCAGGGCCACCTGGAGGGTTTTCTCCGCAGGGCTTAGGGGGACCCGTCCTTCCCCTCCTCCTCCTCCTCCTCCTCCTCCTCCTCCTCCTCCCCCTCCTTGCCCTCTCCTCCTCGGATCGCCTATACGGCCCCGGGGGAAGCCGCCCCGGGCCACCGCGCCCGGCAGCGACCCGGGACGGCGAGGCCGGTGCCCAGCGGGGCCGAGCCCTCTCGGAGGGTCTCCGCGCCACGCGCGGCGAGCACGTCGCCACGCGGTCGGCTCCGTCGTCGTCGTCGTCGTCGTCGTCGTCGTCGTCGTCGTCGTCGTCGTCGTCGTCGTCGTCGTCGTCGTCGTCGTCGTCGTCGGGAGGCCGCTCCCGGGCCCGTCCGACGGCTGAGTTCGAGCGGACTCGATCATCGGGGGCGGAAAAGAGGGGGGTGATGACTGGGGGGGGTGGATATCATGGCGTGGGCCATTATATTTCCCCAGATTTCATGGCGCCCCTCCTTATTTCATTACGTCCCTGGCCCCCACGCTGGGCCGCGCACATGCCGCTGGTCATGATTTGCACCCCCTCTCTTGGACCCCCCCTCTTGGCCGCTCCCGAGATCGCGCATGCCCGTCGCCATACCCTCGCGTCAAGTCGGGCGTGCCCCTCCACAGGAGTGCTTTTCCAAAGCAGTCAGACAATAGCCAGGGGAGGGTTCGTCTATGATTCTTGGACCCTTTTCTTTGGGTATTCCGAATTTTGCTCTTTTTGGGGTATTCCTAATTTTTGGGAAAAATTAGCCTGGGCATTTTTTGTGTATTCCCAGTTTTGCTCAGAACTCTGCCTGCAGGGGGGCGTGCCCGACCCACGTGCCCTCGCGGTCTGGGCACCAGCTGCGCGGTCCCGCGCGGCTGCGCGGCCCCAAGGGGAGGGCGTGCTGCGCGGGGGCACCCGCGGATGCGCCGCCCTGTATCCGCTCCGCGTCCGTTGCCGAGGAGTTCGGACCACGACGCCGTGGATGCACGGATTGTGTCTCCCGTCTCGGAGGTGGCTCGACCTCCCAGATTGACACGTCGATTGGCGACTTGGCCGTTTTCGGTTCGCGAGAGGGCGTCGCGGCCGTCATTGTTGCGGGTCCAGGTGCGTCGGTTTCGGTCCTAGGCCCTTTTTTTTAAAGGGTGGTTTACTACAGGGAGGTTTGTCCACCGCCGACCATCCACCGCGGGTCGTTGCCGAGGAGTCCGCACCGCGACGCCGTGGATGCACTCGGGTTGACCCCAAAGGGGGTCCAGCGACAAGGGGATGGTGCAATGGATTTGGTGCAATAGATCTGTGAGGTTGCAATACAATTGGGGCGTGCAATGCAGTCTGGGGCGCAAACGTATTTCCGGATTTCCCGCGTGAAAGGAACTCGTCGCAATACAATGCAATACGATTCTCCGGCGCAATATATTTGCAACACCGTTGCCCCAAATCTATTGCACCACCGCCTTTCAGCTGGACCCCCTTTTGGGTCGACCAAATGCACGGATGTGTCTCCCATCCACGAGGTCACCATGGCCGACGGGAGCCTGAGGCCGCTGCAAGAGGTCATCGGAGGAGGAGCGCAACGAACTCGGCGTCATCCCAACATACAAATACTAACCGCATTTCCGGTTATGTGAGCGTCGCCCCCCCAGGGGCGGCGCCCGCACCGAGAAATCTTATAGTGTATGCGTCGTGGCGGGCGCTTTCTGGCCACACCGCTCGGGAAACGATATACTACAAGATGAGTATACTATATGTTTGGGTCGGACGCGCGCCTCCAAGCAGGACGTGTAGTATGAGTATGTCTCTGTGCACCCCCCGACCCGATGCCGATGCCCCTCGCTCGTCTCCGTCCTGGGCCTGACTCGCCGCCTCGGAGTTCTGGTGAGCACGCACCCGGGAGAGGCCCGGGGAGTGGTGGTATCGGTATCGTTCGGCGCCTAAGGAAAGGGGGTCAATGCAAACGGGGGTCAGCCAGAGCGCCCGATCTTGCAGGATCCTGCAGGGCCAGGGTCGCACTTGTCCAGGTCTGGGTGCATGATGCTGCAGGATCCTTCGTGTTGACCCGGGTTTGGGCGCAGGATCTTGCAGGATCTTGCAGGATTCTGCAAGGCCTGACTGAGCCGGGTCTGGATCGACCCGGGTCAGAAGATCCCCGAAGCTTTTTTGCGAGGCGGGGATTTACGCAGAATCACCGCCTGGGGGGTCATCTTCGGGGACGCCGGCAGACGGTGGTTCTGGATGACCGCCTCCCTGCCTCGGGCGCTTGTTCCCCCAAGGTCCGGGCGGGGGACGAGGTGCTGTCGTGGGACGAGAGCCTGGGCCGGCTGGCACCGTCGGTGGTGCAGGGGACGCCGTCGTTCCTGCGCGCCGCGTCCGAGGTGGTGGAGCTGGAGCTGGGCGCGTCGGCCGCCCGGGGGGCGCGCTCGCCCGGGCGTCTGCTGCACGCCACCGTGGACCACCCGTTCTGGAGCAGGACTAAGTCGGGCCTGTCCCCTACACGAGGAATATTCAAACATAGACTATGTAGAACATAATCCCCATGCTATGTTTGAACTATTAGTTCAAACATAGTACGGGGATTAATTGTTCAGTATTTTTTGACCATCTGGGAGTTTTTTTTTGTTTTTGTTTCTTTTGTCAAATAAGTATGTTTCGTCACACGCCCGACTTTAGAGCAGGAGCAAGGGCGCTCTGGTGTCGCTGCAGCCCGAGGCCACCGACCGCGAGTACGGCCTCCGGGCAGCCGCGCTGGTGCCGGGCGAGGAGCTGGAGAGCCCAGAGGCTGCCGCGGGCGGTGCGAACGGCCCGCGCGTGCTGGGCCTGGCGCAGGCCTCGGCGGCGCTGCTTCGAGGCGGACGCCTCCACGGCGCGGCCAACAGGAGCCACGTGGAGGTGAGGACGCTCTGCCTGCACCCCCTGCACTGGTTCTTTGTGCAGGGCGTGCGCGTGCACAACAAGGGGTGCTTTGCGCCCTGGGTCGGGGTGCTCATGGGCGATGGCACGGAGAGGGCCATCTCCTCGGTCCAGGCTGGCGACACTGTGATGTCATGGGACAGTTCTTCGGGCTCGCTGCAGCAGGCCCATGGGGTATTATCATCTTCTTACTGTGGAGCAAGCGTTAAGCCTAAGCAGGTGTTAGTTCCCTTAAGTCGGTGGCTCTCACCTGCATCTTGTGGAAGGGGCACCCCTTCCTGTTCGGCTCGTGCCGTGGGCTTGTGGTCGGTTGGCTGGTTGCTGGGCAGGCTGGTGTAGCAAGGGAGGGACGAGAGCGCACTCGTGTGGACGGTCCCCCCCTTACCCTTGCAAACGCTTGGCATCGCTCGGACGTGTGCATTTTTCCTTCGGCGAGGACCATCGAGGAGCATCCTCGATCATTTGGCGAAACACCACGCACGAAACCGAAAAACACATAGGAAATGGACGTCCGAGCGATGGCCAGAAAGGGAGAGGGGGAGCTTCCGAAGCGATTCCCCCCCCTCCCCCGGTTGCAGCTGGCGGCCCCTCTCTGCTAAAGCGGGGAGGGCCTCCGAAGCTGCCCCCCCCCCCCTCCCTTTTGACGCCAGGGGTGCGGCTGGGCTGCCCTTTCCGAGGGGGGGGGGGAGGGGCTTCCACCCGAACGAGGGCAACCTGCAACCTTCTAGAACCAAATCCAATCACCTCAGTTCGAAATTGTAGCCCTGTTGGTACCACTTCCAACCACTCGAGGAGAAATCCCAACCAACCTTCATGAGGGCGGTGATGATGCTGATGCTGATGCTGATGCCGATGCTGATGTTGACGACGCCGATGACGATGACGATGACGATGACGATGACGATGATGATGATGATGATGATGATGATGATGATGATGATGATGATGATGATGATGATGATGATGATGATGATGCTGATGCTGATGCTGATGATGATGATGATGATGACGATGATGATGATGATGATGCTGATGATGATGATGATGCTGATGCTGATGCTGATGCTGATGATGCTGATGCTGATGCTACTGATGATGATGCTGATGATGCTGATGATGCTGCTGCTAATGCTGATCTGATGCTTATGATGCTGATGATGCTGCTGGTGCTGATGATGATGCGGCGGATTCTGATATGATGTTTGATGCTGATGCTGCTGATGATGATGATGCTGCTGCTGCTGCTGCTGATGATGATGATGATGATGCTGGTGGTGATGATGCTGCTGATGATGATGATGGCTATGTGAGCTCTCGTATTATTACATTCTTGAAACCCTAAATCCTCGAGCCCGTAAGCCCTGAAACCCTTAAGCCCTTAAACCCTCAAACCCTTTCAGGCCCTCAAATACCTTAACCACTGAAACCCTTATCCTTACAGCCTTGCGGCTGGAAGCCCTAAAACTCTTGAGCCCTCTAAGGCCTTAGAGCCTTCAATACCTAAACCCTGTAAACCCTTAGGCCCTTGAATCCTTCAGCCATGAAGGCTTTAACCATTTAGTCTTTTAAAGGGATCCTGACCTTTAAGCCCTGAGACCGTTAATCTCTTAAACCTGTCAGGTGCTTCCATTCTACGGCCTTAAGCCCTTAAGCCCTCAAGCCCTTGAATCCTTACAGTAACATCTCGGGGCAGTCCTGGTACACATTCCAACCCGGGCAGTCATGTTAGCTTCTGGATAATCGGTGCAGGCGCAATTATATTATTCGATTTCTGGATATCCTATCATCGCTACCCAGTCAGAATCAAGTAGTGACGTTTTTTGGCTGGTTGGAAGTACTAGTCTGTCTTTTCGAGCCAGTTGGGGAACATCTTCCAGTCGGTTGGGATTCGTCTCAGTCGGTTAGGATTTGAACAGCATGCTGCTTCCACCCCCCCACCCCTTTTGAAGCGGCAGGTAGGCCCAAGCTCCGCTCCCTCCCTTGTGAAGCAAGGGGTCCCGTTGCCAAGGGTGAGGGGCTTCCCAACCTACCCCTGTCTTCCTCCCCTTTTTGAGGTCGGCAAAGGTACGACCGGGCTCTCCCTGCAAAGGGGGCGAGAGCCCGCCCCCCCAACCCCTCCCCCCCCCCCCTTTCCTCGCTCGTGAAGCCAGGGGCCCTCCTGCCAGAAAAGGAAGGGTCGGGCCTCCGAAGCTCCCCCCTCCGAGCCGACGATTCGGCCGCCGCCCCTCGACCAGCCAGAGACCGCCAGCGACAGGGAGGAGGGAGGTGCAGGGATCGGGGCTCAAGAGACGGGGGGTCAGTGCGAACGGGGGTCGGCCAGAGCGCCCGATCTTGCAGGATCCTGCAGGGCCAGGGTCGCATTGACCCGGGTTTTGGGTGCAGGGTCCTGCAGGTTCTTGCAGGATCCTCCGCATTGACCTGGGTTTGGGTGCGGGATCTTGCAGGATTTTGCAGGATTCTGCAAGGCTTGACTGACCCGGGTCTGGATTGACCCGGGTCAGAAGATCCCCGAAGGGAGGGTGGATCAGAGGCAGCGTTAGGGGGGGATAGGCCCAGGGGGGGAATCTATCGACCATGGATCGCCGACAGGGGCCAGATAGCCCACCCCGCCAAGGAACCTGTGGTTGTGTTATCGGGGGCCCATCGCCGTTCTGTCGGCGATGTGTCGCCGATTCCAGGTCGATGTCTCCCCCTGTGCCAGTCCCCCCCTGCCCCAGACATCTGGCGTTTCGAACTTTTCGAGGCACGGGCTCCCGACTTCTCGACCACTTCCCCGCTACCGTTTCTTCATCACGGGCCGTTCTCTGACGCTCCCGAGGCCTGGCAAGGGCCCCGAGGCGCCGAAAACGATGAAACACCCCTGTCACCACTTTTCCAGACGCCGGATGTTTGGGATCACTGCCCTTCAGTCCCTGACCTTCGAGGAAGGCTAAAAAATAGCACCTGGACCTAGATACTCAACATCCCATCGAGGTTTTAAGCAGTCCAGATAGGTCTACAGGTTTGGAGTGCTATTTTTTAGCACTCTGGAAGGTCAGGGGTGGACGAGGCTCCCCAGCAGGCCCGAGTCCGGAGCCGAGAGTCCTACCCCGCCCGCGACCTGTTCCAGGTGCTGCTCGTTGCAGCCGAGGGCCAGGCCGCGCCACCGCCGCCGCCGCCGCCGCCGGCGCCGCCCGCCGCTGCCGCCGCCGCCGCCGCCGCCGCCGCCGCCGCCGCCGTCGTCGTCGTCGTCGTCGTCGTCGTCGTCGTCGTCGTCGTCGTCGTCGTCGTCGTCGTCGTCGTCGTCAGTGTCCTCCTCGTGCTCCTCTGCATCCTCGTCCCTGTCTTCGTCGTTTGCGCTGTCCTGATCGTCCTCTTGCTTCTCCTTCTCTTCCTGCTGCTGGTGCTGCTGCTGCTCTTCGTCGTCGTCTCAGTCGTCCTTGTCGTCGTCGTTGTACTCCTGCTGCTGGTCGTCGTCGTCGCCGTCGTCGTCGTCGTCGTCGTGGTGGTGTTGGTCGTCGTCGTCGTGGCCTTCGCTGCCGGCCAAGAAGCCCCCCGCCGCCAGCGCCGCGCTTCCTCGAGCCGCGCCCAGCCGCGGCGACGGGAGGGCCACGAACACCGCCCAACTGCCGCCGAGCCGACCACGACGCCGCCGACGGCGGCGCGCCTCGCAACACGCTGCAGCCTCGTGGGGCATCTCACGACGGGTGCCCTGGCCTCCACCTCTCCGCGGCCGCGCCGCACCGACCTGCGCTGGCCCCTCGCGGGGCCCCGAGAGGCCTCGAGAGGATCCACGATAAACACTCAAGAGGCCCCCCCTGCGCTCCCAGAGGCCCCCCCGAGGCACCCGAAACGCTCGAGAGGGGCCGCCCCCGCGCGCAGAAGACCGCAGCAGCGCCCCGATCCCCCGGGGGGGCGGCGGCCGCGGGCCGCGCCGGCTGCGGCGGCGGCGGCGGCGACGGCGACGTGGCCGCGGCGCGAGGCCCTCGCGGCGCGCCGGCTGCACGGCGCCGGCGCCGGCGCGGGGCCGCCCCGGCGCGCGGCGCCGCTGGTGCTCACGGGGGACCACCCGGTCTACAGCGCGAGGCGTCGGGGCCCTCGCCCTCGTCCTCGCGGGGGGTCTCTGGAGGAGGGGGGCCTGCGCGGAGGCCTGCGTGGAGGCCTCCGGGCAGGGCTCGTGTCGATCCCTCCGGTGCGAAGCGGCTTCGGCGGCTTCCGATTCCGATGCGATCCGGCTTTGCAGGTCGATTTGGCCTCCCATGTCTTACTGGAGACAGGAGCCCGCCGGTTTCCGCCGATTCGGCTTTTCCCGACTCGGCTGCCGATTTCTGCCGATCCGATTCATGTCGATCGCCGATCCGACTTCTCGATTCGATTTTGGGCTCTCCGGTTCTGGGCTCTCCTGTCCGGGCGTGCTCCCGAGACCCGCGGAGCCCCCTTCAGACCTGTGGAGACCTTCCGAGGCGGCTGTCGTCGTCGTCGTCGTCGTCGTCGTCGTCGTCGTCGTCGTCGTCGTCGTCGTCGTGGTCGTCGTCGTCGTCGTCGTCGTCGTCGTCGTCGTCGTCGTCGTCAACGTCGTCGTCGTCGTCGTCGTCGTCGTCGTCGTCGTCGTCGTCGTCGTCGTCGTCGTCGTCGTAGGTTGTCCACGTCGTGGCAGCGCGCACAAGGCGCTCGTTTTCGGGCGTTTTCGTCGGATCCTGGGTGCTTCCCAGGCCCCCTCGGGTCGGGAAAAAAATAGCGACGGAAAGTTCTTGGCAATTTTCGCTTCTGAGGGCCCTCACTAGGCCGCAGGACCGTCAAACAAGGGCTCGGGATGGAAACCCAGTGCAGGGGAGTGGGTCGAGACCTCTGGGGGTCGATGCTGCGCCTCGGCGGCGCGCACAAGGGGTCCGTTTTCTGACGCACCTTTCGTGAGCCCGAGGGGCCCCAGAGGGGCACGAAAGGTCACGTTTTTTCGCCCCTCCACCCATCGCCCCACCATACAGCAACGCCCGTGAGTGCTCTCCAGCAGCTCCGTCTCGCCGAGGGCCGTCTGGCGGTGCCCAGATCGTCTGGGGCGGCCGCCCAAGGTCCGGGTCGTAAAATTCTGCTCCGCCTGCCCATCGTCGTCCCCCTCCTCGCCCTCGTCTCCTTGTCCTCCTCATTCTCCCTCACCCTCTCCTCTTCCTCCTGGCGATAACGATGATGATGGTGAGGACCACGGTGATACTGATGCTGATGATGATGCTGCTGATGATGCTGACGCTGCTGATGATGAAGATGTTGATGATGCTGACGATGGTACTGATGATCCGAGGTGAGGTGGTGAGATCGAAGTGGAACGGAGAGCCCCCCTACCGGGAAATCGATTTCGGTTTCGTGTTCGTGCGTGCCGTGCGCGCGGGCGAGGCGAAGCTGCGCGGGCGGGCGAGAGGAAAGTCTCCTGTGGCTGAGGCGCGGCCGGACCAAATGTGTCTCTTCTGGGCGGCCGGTGGCGCGCGGTGTCCCGCCGGTGTCCCGCTGCTGTCCCGTCGGTGTCCCTGTGGCTGAGGCGCGGCCAGACCAAATGTGTCTCTTCCGGGCGGCCGGTGGCGCGCGGTGTCCCGCCAGTGTCCCGCTGGTGTCCCGTCGGTGTCCCTGTAGCTGAGGCGCGGCCAGACCAAATGTGTCTCTTCCGGGCGGCCGGTGGCGCGCGGTGTCCCGCCGGTGTCCCGCTGGTGTCCCGTCGGTGTCCCGTCGGTGTCCCGATGATGATGTGGATGATGATGATGATGATGATGATGATGATGATGATGATGATGATGATGATGATGATGATGATGATGATGATGATGATGATGATGATGATGATGATGATGATGATGATGATGATGATGATGATGATGATGATGATGATGATGATGATGATGTTGGTGTGTTGTTGATGATGATGATGATGATGACGTCGATTGTGAGATCGATTGTGACATCGATAGTGAGACCGAATGTGAGATCGATTGTGAGATCGATAGTGAGATCGATTGTGAGATTGATAGTCAGATCGATTGTGAGATGATGATGACGGTAATGATGATTATGATGATGATGGTGCCGAGTGAAAATTGCCGAGTGAAACTCGATAATGAGATCGATTGTGAGATCGATAGTGAGACCGAATGTGAAACCGAATGTGAGATCGATTGTGAGATCGATTGTGAGATCGATAGTGAGATCTACAGTGAGACCGAATGTGAGACCGAATGTGAGATCGACTGTGAGATCGATTGTGAGATCGATAGTGAGATCGACAGTGAGACCGAATGTGAGACCGAATGTGAGATCGATTGTGAGATCGATTGTGAGATCGATAGTGAGATCGATAGCGAGATCGATGGTGATATCGATAGTGAGATCGAATGTGAGATCGATTGTGAGATCGATAGCGAGTTCGATTGAGTGAGACGTTGGTTCCCCCTCCCCCTCACCTCCTTATCACCCGCAGGGTGGTCGTATAGGTAATGATGATGCTGATGCTGATGATGATACTGTTGATACTGATGATGATGCTGATGCTACTGACGACCAATATTACGATGCTGATTGGGTTGGCGATGATGATGGTGATGACGATGATGACGGTACTGGCGATGCCGATGGTGACGATGACGATTGTGATGACGACGATGGTGACGACGAGGAGGATGCTGACGAGGTTGCTGATGAAATGGATGATGATGGTTATGCTGACAATGATGGTTGCGATGATTACATATGCCGGTGTTACTGCTGCTGCTAACGACGACGACGAGAATGATGATGATGACGATGATGATGCTGCTGCTGATGATGCTGCTGCTGCTGATGATGATGATTCTGATGATGACAATGCTGCTGCTGATGATGATGATGATGATGATGATGATGAGGATGATGATGCTTACGATCATGAATCTTAGATTGATGCCATTTCTGGATTTTGTTACGATCGTGGTGGTGGTGATGATGTTGGTGCTGACAATGATGATGAGGTGCATGCGGCAGATACCGACGATACTGCTGCTGATGATGATGGGGATACTGGTCGCGATTATGGTGATGAGTAGGTCCATGCTGATGATAGTGATTCGGCTGATTTTGATGATGGTCGTGGTGCTGATTTTTAGGTGGAGGTGGAGGAGGATGGAGCAGGAGGAGTTCGCAGAAAGGATGATGATAAGTCATTTCCCTCCTCCTTCCACTTCTTCTACCCCCTCCTCCCTCCCTCCCTCCTTTCCTCCCTCCCCCCCTCGCTCCTTTCCTCTCTCTCTCTCTCGCTTTTTGTTTGTTGTTGCTCTCTCTTTTTTCTCTCTCATTCTCTCTCTCTCTCTCAATTCTCAAGCTCTTCTCACAATTTGTCCCTGGATCCCTCTCGCTGTCCATCCTGGGCAGTTTCTCAAGCCGCGTCCAGCTGTAGCGACGAGAGAGCCTCCAGGAACGCCCCAACCCAACAATTGACGACGTCGACGTCGTCGTCACCGTCTGCGGCGTCAGGCAGCAGGGACTTGTGTCGCTGAGGCCGGAGCACACCTTTGAGCGCTACGGTGTGACGGTGGGTGGCCCTGGGGGCCCGTCCCGCAACCCGCCGATCCAGTCTTCCTTCTCCTTCTCCTTATCCTTCTCCTTCTCCTTCTCCTTCTCCTTCTCCTTCTCCTTCTCCTTCTCCTTTTCCTCCTCCTTCTCCTCTTCCTTCTCCTTCTCCTTATCCTTCTCCTTTTCCTTCTCCTCCTCTTCGTCCCCATCTTTCTCCTCCTCTTCCTCCTCCTGCTCCTCCTCCTCTTCTCTCTCCCTCTTCTGTCTCTCCGTAGGCACTTTGGTTCAAGACATTTTTGGCTCAAGTTCTGAGGTTCCCCGCGAGTCAAGCAGATGCCGCTGTTCCGCGGCCAGCTTCCACGGCTTTCTTTCGGTGCCCGGTCCGTCCCGGTGCATCGCCTGCCAGCCGCGCTATCGACTGCAGAATTGATTAACCCAACACTTTTTCTTGGAAACAGATGTAAGAACATTATTCAGTTTTTTGAAGTCATGACGGGACTTCCAAATCTTGACGCTTCGCGTATCCCCCCAAGCTCAACACACCCACGACGTGCGCGGACTCCCTGGAAGCATGGGCCAACGCTGGCTACGACGCATATCGGATGGATCGTGAGCTCAGACTCTGCGTAGACTGGGTCGAAGTTCGGAACAGACACATGAACTTCCCCGTGCGACACGACGCTCCTGCACACGCCCCACGCGAACACGGCAGCCGCGACACGCCAGCCCCCTGGACTGCCGAGAGCCGAACGGTTGCGCGTGCAGCGGCACAGGAACCCTGGGCCGGAGCCTTTAGAACCGCCACCCCCAGCCAGAGGCGGGGCTGGCAAGAGTGGTCCTCGTGGGAGCGGCGTGATACCCCATGGACGGACTCCGACTGGAAAGGCAGGGGCAAACGATACTCTCCACGAGGGGACGACCGAGACTCTGAGAAGCGGGCCCGCTGGTGGGCCAAGTGCGACTCCAACACCCAAGGTTGACGTGCTCCCGCCACGGCGTACCTCAGCGTCCAGATACAGGCACCTGCCCAGAGTGGACCCCTGGTCCCCCCACCTCCAGCCACCCGTGGCCCTGAAGGGGCTTGTTCCACCTCGCTGCGCCCGGCTCAGGCCGTAATACCCGGGGCCACCCTCCGCTGGGGCGAAGGCTCACCCCCACACTTCACCCACGGCGCAGCTTAGAGCTATAGACAGCCCGCGCTGGATAAGTGGACCACCCGCCACCTTTTCGGGCCCGCCGTTGGGGGATCTCCCACTTGCACCCGACATCTCACCCTCACTGGCCCTGCGGGGCCCGCCTGGCTCACACCGGCAGGTCCCCCAGGCACCCAGACTTTGCTGTTCGATGACGACAGCCGGCTCGCGGACCCTGGGCGGGAGGTGGGCCCCAGCATCCCCCCGCCCTGCCTGGCCGCGGGCTCGACCTAGCTAGGTCTCAGCTTTGTCACACCGCATGCGCCATAACATCAGCGGCGGTTAGCTGCGACCCTGGATGAACCAACGCACGCCGTCCCCACGGAGGTTCCGGCCTCCGCGGTGGCAACCCAGCCTTCAGTGTGTCAGTCCACCGGCTGCAGGCTGCCCACCCTGGACCACGCCAACATCGGACGAAAGACCTACCATTCGGTACTACCTTCACTTCAGCGGCGGTTAGCTGCGACCCTGGATGGACCTCGGGAAATGGCGGCCGTGTCCCCTGGCCAGGTGCACCTGGGACCCGTTCGAGGTGCGGTGATGTTCGTCCCCACCGCCTCTCTCCTCGGGTCCCTCTCGGGCCGGGCCCTGGCCGCGTCCCCCGCCCTCGGCCTTCGGGGCTGCCGTTTCCCTGCGCTTCCCTTGCAGGGCGCCCCCGTGGTGCCCCTCCGCGTGGGGGGTCGCCGCCTGGTCTCGGGGGCTCTCGTCCCCGCCCCCCAGGGCTGCCCTGGACCCCCGCTGTCAGTGGCAACGTTACCTCACCTTCAGCGGCGGTTAGCTGCGACCCTGGAAGCCCACGTGGTATGGCGGATTCGACGGTGACCCTGGATCCCCGCGGGGAATGGCGGACGCGGCGGATACGGCCGTCCCATGGTGGCCTTCGGCGTACACCACGCGGCTGCTGCAACGCAGCTCCACCCTGGACGCCTCACCTTGCTGGCGTTGTTCTTCCCCACCAGCTTGGCCTCACGCAGCGCTCCCGCCGGCGCTCGCACAGCCGTGCGTGGATGGCCCTCACAGGATCGGTGGCCACTCATGTTGTGCGGTTTGACGGCTCCTGGAGGCACAGCCAGCTCCGAGTGGTTCAGCCTTCGCAGCCTTGGCCGCCCTCCGGGCCCACCCCCCGCCCGGCTTGGTATTCGTCGTTGTTCGGCGGTGCAGCACAGCTGGCGCGGACACGCCGTTGGCGCGGCTTGGGCTTGGCGCCCCTCCGGCGACGGCCCATCGCTTACCACGTCTGGCCGCCTCAGCGCGTAACGCAGAATTTCCTGGCATTTTGCCGCAGGGCTGCGCGTTGCTCGAGCTTCCCTGGGCGTTCCAGTGCAGCCAGCCAGCCCCCCGCAGCCGCTGCCCCAGCTGCCGCGTTTGTGAGCTGGCCCGGCCGGCTCGTGCTGCGCTCAGTAGCTAATTAGGTTGGCCCGCCGGCCTGGACAACTCCTCTCGCCGCTTGCGCGCTCGCTGGTTGCTGCGACCGAAAAGTATCCCCCCAGCTGCAGAGGGCGCGCCCGCGCTTTGAGACGCTCCTCACATCATTGAGCCTCAGGACTGTGTATCGGGAAGTGTGGCCGTCAGTTACAGCAGTCTTCAGGGAGTGCTCGAGAATGTGCCCGTGGTCGTCTGCCGCAGCTTGTCGTCTCCTAACCCTCCTGGAGACCGGCAGGGTGGACCAGGCACTGGTGCTGCCCCACTCGGCACGTTGCCCAGGCTGGGGACAGAGATGCAGTTTGCCGTGCACGACGTGCCCGTGACCAGCTGCAATGCTCACGCTGGCTTTCACCGCGCCGGGCTGCAGTGGCCTTCAGCCCCCACTGCTGGCCCAGCGTCGTTCGGTGACGGCCTTCGCGGCACCCGGCAGGGCCTCCTCGCACTTGGGGAACCGACTCCCAGGCGCCGTCAACACCATGCTCGCGGGACCCGCCGGGGCGGGAACGGCGTGCCCATTGGCCACGGCCGTTGTTGTAGTTGTTTTCACTCTGGCCTTTGCCTGGACCTGGCCATGGCCTGGCTCTGTCCCACGGCATCGGCCCCCCTCACCGCGGCTGCAGCGCGGTTCAGTTCCCCGCTGCGGGTCCAAGGTCGCTACGTGTTGGCCCCTGCTCGGCCCTTGGCTCGGCCTTCCCGCCCTTGGGGAGCTGGCCCCCAGTCGCCGTCAATACCAGGCAAGGCACGCTGTATCCGCTGGGGCGGTGCGCGACGTGCCTGCCTTACGGCTTTGGCCGTTACAGAGCTGTGTTCATTGTGGTCTTTGCCTGGATCCCGCCACGGCCTGGCGTGGTTACCCTGGCTCTGGCCCTTTCGTGACGTTCTCGACTCACGCGTCTTGACCAGTACCGGCGCTTGTGATTGCACTCCCCTGGGCCCTGGTCCCCAGACACCGCCCGGTTTGGCCGTGTCTGGCTCCCACTCCGCCACTGGCGCTGGGCCCTCCCCCTCAGCCTCGGTGGAGGCGCCCGTCACCTGGCCTCCGGCTCTTTCCCTGTTCCGTGGTACCGAGTGAGCCCTGGAGTTCAGGTTTCGCGCGTTCTGACCAGTTCCGGCAGTGCTTGCACTTCCCTGGCTCTGGTTGTCAGCTGGCCACCTGGGGTACTGGCCCGCCGTGTCTTTCTGGAGTGGTTCAGCCTTCCTGTGCGACCTGGCGTGTCACCTGGTGGTCTGCTCCCCTGTCCTCTGGCGCCTGGTGGCGACGAGGCCTAATTCCAATGGCTGGTGATTCAGCTCCCAGGGTACTCGCACGTTGCAACATCCCAGCCGCCTCCGCAGCAGCCTTTGCCCCCGGCGCATCTCAGCATCGGCGCGGCTGCTTCCCTCGGCGGTAGGTCTTGCCTGCCTAGCTCGGCGCGCGCGCATGCAATTGGATTATTCGTAACCGGAGCTAACTCAGCTGACGCTGTTGGACCCCTTGGCCTGCAGCTGCGACAAAAATCCCCCCCAGCCCATCCAGACACGATCGGAGGCTTGCGTGGTGCCTCTTGGGGGCTATCTTGAGCCATGCTCGGCTAGAGGCTGTCGGAGCCTACCTTGAGCCATGCTCAGCTATCTTGGGCCATCTTGAGGCTCTATCGAGGCCTCTCGGAGGTCTGTCGGAGGCTATCTTGAGCCATGCTCGACCTCCTGGGACCATCTTAGGAGTAGGCGGAGGAAGGGGAGGAGGAAAAGGAGGAGGAGGAGGAAGAGGATGATGCGGAGGAGGAGGACGACTGGGAAGAGGAGGAGGAAGAGGAGGATGAGGATGTGGAAGAGGGAAAACAGAGAAGTAGTTGTTGTAGGAGGAGGAGGAAGAGGAGAAATGCAGCACGAGGCAGAAGATGATGATGATGATGATGCTGATGCTGATGCTGCTGCTGATGATGATGATGATGCGGATGCTGATTATGATTATGATGTTGGTGATGCTGATTGTGATGATGCTGCTGATGATGATGCTGCTGATGATGACGCTGATGAGGATGATGCTGCTGACGATCATGATGATACTATAGATGCTGATGCTGCAGTCGCTGGTGGTGCTGATGCCGCTGATGCTGACGATGCTGACGTTGATGATGATGTTGCTGCGGATGTTGATGAGGATGATGATGCTGATGATGATGCTGATGATGGTGCTTATGGTGATGATGCAGATGATGGTGATGATGATGACGGTGCTGCTGCTGATGATGACGACGCTGATGCTGCTGATGATGACGATGGATGGCGATGATGATGCTGATGATGATGCTGATGATGATGTTGATGATGATACTGATGATGATGATGATGATGACGATGCTGATGCAGATGATTCTGATGATGACGGTGATGATGATGATGGTGGTGGTGGTGATGATGATGATGATGATGCTGATGATGCTGATGATGATGATCATGCTGACGATGAGGAGAATGAGAAGGGTGAGGAGGAGGAGGAGGAGACAGGAAAGGAGGAGGTCAAGAACGGGCAATGACAAGGATGACGAGACGTCGGGCTTTGGAGATCTGTTGTTGTGGGAGGTCCTTGGCGGACGATCGAGGCCATCTTAGGGGACTCTCTTCGGATCCCTTGTGGGGCCTCTTGGGGAAAAAATGGGGCACTTTGGGGGCCCTATTGGGGTTCGTGTTGTGGGTCTTGGGACCTCTTGGGGCTCATTGGATGGGTCTGGGAGGCCTCTTGGCCCTCACGGCTCGAAAAGAGTGCGTGTGGGGGGTGGGGTCGGTGGGGGGCAAATCAGGTCTTTCCTCGGAGACTCAAGAATGGTGTCTTCGGGCCCTCTGGGGCCGCTCTCGGGCGTCTTTTGGGCGCTCTTTGAGCCGTTTTGGGCCGCTGTTGAGCTCCTCTTGCGGCACTCTTGGGCCATCTTGGGGCAATTTTGAACCCTCCAAAAGCCCATTTCAAGCGAAAACGCGACAAGGCAACACACGCACACATTTGTTTTCCTTCGGTTTTCGAAGGGTCTTGGCCTCTTGGCGGGTGCCTAAGAAGGCTTGAAGGGCACTTGGAACCGTCTTGAGGCTGTCTTGGGGCCTCTTAGGTATGTGGGAGGCTATATGGAGCCATTTTCGGCTACCTTGAGACATCTTGGAAGCCGTCTTGGGCTGCCGATGCCCTCTTGGAGACATCCTGGGCCCATCTTGAAACTCTGACGATTGGGTCCCCCCGCTCCCCAGGCCCATGGGAGGGGGTATAGGGAGGGATCAAGGCACCCTCCTAGATAGCAGCTCATCTAGCTCACTCCCACCCGCCTTCCCCGCACATAAGTAACATCCGAGCCTCAGCATGTTCAGCGGTCGTCTTTGGATGGAGACACCCTCCTAGATAGCAAGCCATCTCGCTCACTCCCACCCGCCCTTCCAACATATAAGTTGTACCCGAGCATCAGCGTATTCAGCGGTCGTCTTTGGATGGGCAGCTGCTGGGAGTCAACACCGACCCCACGTGCGCGACGCCGGGGCGAGGTGCGCCACGCGTGCCAGGCGCGCCAGGCAGCGCACCAGGCGCGCCAGGCACCCCTGGGGCCCGAGCGTGCCAGGCACGCCTGGTGCGCCAGATGCGCTACGTGCTCCACGCGCACCAGGTGTGCCGCGTACTCCGGCCGCGCCAGGTCCACCAAGTTCGGGGCACGGGAGCCCCGGGAGATTTGAGACTTTGGGGTCAGGGCCCCATGAAGATTCCTCTGGACTGATGACTGAGGCTCCAGGGATAAGGCAAGGCCCCGAGGACGCACCCATTCCGTGCCCAGAGGCACCGTGGCGGAGTTACCGCAGCGCTTACAGTGCAGTTACACAATCGATTTCTCGGCGAAGTGTTCATGTGGCGACAAGATCTACAGTGCTCATCGTCATCCTCCCCCCCCTCTTCCCTCGCCCCTCGCCGCCGGCCTCGCGCCCCCTCCTCCCTCCTCCCTCGTTCGCCCGCCTCTTTCTGTCCGCCTTCCCCCCCCCTCTCCCCTCCTGTCCCCCCCCCAGCTGGGCCCGAGGGAAGGACGGGCTGGGGCGGTGGCTGCTGGCAGTGCCCCCGGCTTCTTGGGCCAGGTCCGGAGCCCCTGGGGCTCCGTGGGCCTCAGCAGGGGTGCTCTGGAGGCCGCGGGTTCTGGCAGCACCCGAGGCTGGGGCGGAGGGGGAGGGGGCCGGCGGGCGCAGCGGCGCCGACCCGCGCCCCAGGTCGCGCAGATGCAGACCGATGGCGAGGTCCTTCTGCCCCTCCCCCCCCCCCTTCTTCCTCCTCCTCATCCTTTCCTGCTCCTCCTCCTCCCTCCTCCTCCTCCTCCTCCTCCTCCTCCTCCTCCTCCTCCTCCTCCATCCCTTTTCCTCAGGACTCGTTCCCCGTCTCGCACCCCGAGGCGTGTCGGTGTGGCGGGCCGGGCGTTTCGCGCGAGAGATCATCTCACCATTTAGGATCGCGGAGTTCAGATTTTGCAGCAGCTTCGAGGAAGCCGAAGAGCTCCTCGAGGCCCAGGCTCAAGGCCGCCGAGGCTCGAATCTAGAAGTCACCACTTGGCACGAACCAGAGCCAGGCATCAAGCAGCTGCGCACCCACAGCTCGAGAGGTAGTTGGTTTCATCGGCTCGGGGATGGGGGCCAGGTGTCTGCACGAACGGGATGGGCACGGAAAGAATGGGTACAATGGTCAACAGCAGTTCCTGTTCATTCTGAACAGGACTCGCTGTCCGCGCCGCCGCGGCCTGTGTCCATTTGAGACAGAACATCGCTTGCCCAAAAGCGGCCGCTGTTGGTTTGGGACAACCTTTGTTGTTGGGCACTGTACCCATTCTTTCCGTACCCATTTCGGGCGTCCAAAGGGTGGCTTTCAGCGTGTGGCTCTCGCCCCAACGCCGCGCACGCCTGGGTCGCGAGATGCCTGCAGAGGTCTCGTGGACGGTGGTCGGGGGGAGTTGCATCGTGTCGTGGCCCTCGCCCGCCGCGCGCGGTTCGTCCTGACCGCCACGGCCGAAGTTCTGCGGACGGAGGGCGATCGGTTTCCAACATGTGGGTCTCGCCTGAGCGCCGCGCGCGTGCATTTTAAACGTTCGCGGTAGTTTTACGGGCGGAGGGCGGGTGGTCTTCCACGTGCGGTCCTCGCCCCAGCGCCGCGGACACTCGTCTTGAAAGCTTGCAGGAGCTTCACGGATGCAGGGCGGCTGGTGTTCCACGTGTGGTTCCGGCCTTAGCGCCGCGCGTATTTGTTTTACCAGCTTGCAGGAGCTTCAGGGATGGAGGGTTCGTTCTCAAAATGTGTTTCTCACCTGTTTGCCGTTCGCAATCGTTTGAAAGGCTTGCAGCAAGTTTCAATATTCTCATGGTTGACGTCTCAGAAGTCTTGTGTCGGCACGAGGATTGCTAGAACGCAACAGTCACGTCGATTCGCGGTGTTGAATCGCATAAATTGTGTTCTGGCACGATTCAGGATCGTCATGGCGCAACACTAATGTGGATTCGTAGCGTTGAAGTGGCAGGAATGGTGTTTTGGCACGACTGGAGATTCTCAGACGGTGGTCCTACACCGGGACGCTTCCCTCAGTGATTGTAAATTCCTGTAGGGGTTTTTGAAGAGGGAACTTGGACGGAGGGTTCATTGCATCATCGTTAGTGCGTCTTGGGTTTACTCTGATCGTCCTCCTCCGCCCCAATTCAGACACTCTGAGTACGATTCGCCCTCCTCCCTTGAATTTGTCCGGGAGATCTCCCGCCCCTTCCGCGTTTTTTTTTTTTTTTTTTTTTTTTTTTTTTTTTTTTTTTTTTTTTTTTTTTTTTTTTGTTTCTTCTCCTTCCTCTGAGGGTTTCAAGCATTGTTCCCCCTGCGTGTTTTACAATCCAAGTGTTTCTAGTGCTTCAACCTGGTGCCCCCGCTCCAGCGTGGGCCTCATCTTCGGATCGGCACGTTTTTCCTGCCGTTCAGCATGGCGCCCTCGCCCCCGCGCGGGCCACTTTTTTCCGGAGGCGAGTCCTGCTTCCTTGTGGTCTCCCCCCTCATTCCCCTGCCTCCTGCCTCCGCCTTCCCCTGGTCCTCCTGTTCGTGCCTCCCCCTTCCGCTCCAGCTCCTGAGCTCCTGCTGCTGGTGTTCGTCTCGCCCCAGCGTGTTTTTTTTTTTTTTTTTTTTTTTTTTTTTGTTGTTTTGTTTTTTTTGTTGCTTTTTTTTTGTTTTCTTTGTATATATATATATATATTGTTTATTATTATTATTATTATTGTCATTATTATTATCATTATTATTATTATTATTATTATTATATTTGTTGGTGAACAACATATATTAATAACAAGACAATGAAAACAACAAACAAAAACAAACGAGCCCTTGTTATTCATCTTTGTCCCCCCTCATGTCCCCTCCGCCTTCCTCTGTTTCTCCCCTTGCGCTTTGTGCAGTCGGCGAGCGACGAAGCTCGTGCGCCGGGGCCCGGGGGGCACCCCTGGGCGCCCCTGCAGGGGCGCCCTCCGACGCGGCCCCATGGGGCCGCGTCGGAGCTGCCGGGCGTCCCTCTCGGAGCCTTCCCGGGGCCCCCGTGGAGCCACCCGCCTCGAGGCGCCAGAAGCCGCTCGGAGGCGAGACGGCGAGCACGCACCGCGCATTGCGCGTCCTGCCGGTCTCGGGGTCGGCTCCTGCCCCATGGGGGGGGGGCGCCCCCACCGGAGGCGCTCCGCGCGCCACCGGCGGCCGCCGCGGGGCGGTCCGGGGGCCCCAGTGGGAAGCCAGCCGGAGCCGGGCGCGGCTGGCTCGATCTTGGAGGTCAGCTTGGGCGAGGTCGGGCGCGTCCCTCGTACCCGAAGCCAGCGTGAGAAGGCAGCAGCCCAGATGGTCTTGGGACGACTTCTGGGCCATGTCGGGGCACATTCCAATTTTCTATAAAGAGTACAAGCGACAACAAGCATACGCAGACATTTTTCTGGGTGAGGTCGGGCGCGTCCCTCCACCCAAAGCCAGGGTGAGAAGGCAGCAGCCCAGATAGTCTTGGGACGACTTCTGGACCATGTCTGGACGCATTCCAGTTCTATATATAAAAGAGTACGAGCAACAACCAGCATACGCAGACATTTTTCGTCCGACAGCCGCCTGCAGGAGGACGTGCCCGACCCCAAAAAACTTGGGCTCTCCGGGGCCCCCTTGGCCAACGGGGCGCCTCCGCCCCGCGGCCGCCCCCCCGTCCAGACCCAGCGGAGGCCCGAGCAGCGCGGCCCGGCCCCGCCCCCCCCCCCCCCCCACGCACACGGGAGGCTCGCCGTGGTTCGTGGGAGGCGGGCTTCTGTCGGGCCTGTCCCTCTACAGGGGGAGTACTCAGAAATAGGCAAGAAATAGTCTGGGAACTATTTTCCTTGAGCATTTTCTTCGCCATGTTGGAGCATGTTTTAGTTTTCGTCGCAAATCCCCCTGTAGGCGGACACGCCCGACTTAAAAGGCAGGCCCCCGCCTCGGCCGTTCTCGAACTCAAGAACTTGGTCTTTGAGTTCAAGAAATCGGTTTTTGGATTCGGAAGCTGCTCTTTTGGGAGGCCCTCCCTGGCTCGCGGGAGGTCGGCCCCCGCCTCGGCCGCTCCTGGGAGGTGGCCCATCCCTGGAGCAGCTTCCCAACAGTGCGCCTGCTTTCCCTCTTGGGAACACTGAAGACCCGACAACCTCCCAACAGTGCGCCTGCCTTCCCTGGCTCCTGCACGCAGCGCAGATCGACCGCGCCTCCTGCAGCACCACTGGGTGCCCCCAAGCTCACCACAAACAGTACCCTCATTAAGATGGCCTCACCTTGGCCTCAGGATGACCTCAACATGACTTCAATACGTTCTCAACGTGGCCAGGGGGCCTCACGATGACCTCAGTCCGACCTGGGGATGAGAAGGTCTAGCCCGGGCTACTTCTAGAACCAAGTCGGCCAGTCGACACCCAAGGGACTCTCGAGCGGCAGTCAAGTGGCAGGCAAGAGTCAGCCAAGAGGCTCCCTAGAGCCTGCCAAGGGGCTCTCAAAAGGCTCCGAAGAGGCTCCCGAGAGGCTCCCAAGAAGCTCCCAAGAGGCTCCCAAGAGGCTCCTAAGAGCCTCCTCCAAGAGCCTCCCAAGAGGCTCTTCGAAGAGGCTCTTCGAAGAGGCTCTTCCAAGAGGCTCTTCCAAGAGGCTCACCCCAGAGACTCCCGGCAGGCAGAAACCTATCAAAAACCTGCCTGAGTCGCTTAACAACTTCTTGGGGCCCGTGAAAAACCTGGGGTTTCTTAAACATCTCCTGGTGCCTCTTACGACCAAATTGGGGCCGATGAAAAATAACGTCAGGGGGCCTCATAAGATCCTGAGGGGTGTTTGAGAGCTTCATGGGGCCTCCTGTAGGGTCCTCTGACGACCCACGTACGAGGCCCTAGGAGGTTCTCCAGAGGGCCCAATAGGGTCTTGAGAAACCCATCGAAGCGCGTGAGAGGCCCCAGGCAGTGCTGGCGAGGCCCCAACCGGTTCTTCAGATGCCCACGGGAGCGCCGAAGCGGCCCCCGAGAGGCTCTTCAGACGCCGCGCGAAGCGCTTCAGACCTCACTGTCCTCACGAGGCTCCCCAGCTGCTCCACGAACCGCTTCAGAGGGCCCCAGGAAGCGCTGCAGCTGTGCCTCCTTGGGTGGCGGTGGGAGGGCCCCGGGCCCGCTGCCCGGAGCGAGACCGCCCCCTCCACCGCCCCAGAAGGCGCACGCCCTCCGGAGCACTTCGGGGCCGTCCAGAGATCCACTGGGCCACAGGGCAGCTCCTCTGGCCACAGAGAGGCCTGCTAGTCCGCCCCCCCCTGGCCCCACCTTCGGAGGCGGGGGCGGGTCCTCTCGCCGGGGAGGGCAGGAAGACGAGGGCGCATCTCGTTTTTTTTTTTTTTTTTTTTTTTTTTTTTTTTTTTTTTTTTTTTTTTTTTTTTTTTTTTTTTTTTTTTTTTTTTTTTTTTTTTTTTTTTTATATATTATTTTTGTGTGTTTGTTGTTTTTTTTGTTTGTTGCTTTTTGCTTTTTGGTTTTCTTTTTGCTGTTTTTTGTTTTCTCGAGGCGTGCGGGGGGCGGGGGGGGGGCGTTACATCGTCTGGCCACGCATATGGTCCTTGTCGTTTTTTTCCTCCAGCCATCTTGTGGTGTTGGGTCTTCGTTTTGAAGAGAGCGCCCCGCGTCCTACTTCCTCCTCCTCTCCTCCTCCCCCTCCTCCCTCCTCCCATTCCTGCCTCTGCCCTTCGCATGTCAACCATGTCGGCACCCCCTTCACGGGTATCGTAGCCCCATTGGGAGCTCCACCGAAGGGCCCAGTGGCAGGGTCCGTATGCGCCCGACGTCCATTTTCGCACACCCCTCAAACGATTCGTGGCCCCATGGGGAGCTCCACGGAAGGCCCCAGCGGCAGGGTGCCCCTCATACGGTTCGTGGCCCCATAGGGGGCTCCACCAATGGCTCCAGTGGCAGGGTCCGCATGCGCCCGACGCCCATCTCGGCACACCCCTCGCACGGTCCGTGGCCCCATGGGGAGCTCCACCGAAGGCCCCAGCGGCAGGGACCGCACGCGCCCGACGCCCATTCTGGCACACCCCTCAGACGGTTCGTGGCCCCATAGGGAGCTCCACCAATGGCCCCAGTGGCAGGGTCCGCATGCGCCCGACGCCCATCTCGGTACACCCGTCACACAGTTCGTGGCCCCAAAGAGAGCTCCACCGAAGGCGCCAGTGGCAGGGTCCGCATGCGCCCGACGCCAATTTCGGCACACCCCTCAGACGGTTCGTGGCCCCAAAGAGAGTTCCACCGAAAGCGGTACCCACAACGCGGTACTCACGACAGCATATGTCTGGGTCCTTCGCCAGGATAATTGTTTTGGTTTGTTTTGTTGTTCTTGTGGTGGTCGTGGTTGTTGTTGTTGTTGTTGTTGTTGTTGTTGTTGTTGTTGTTGTTGTTGCTGCTGCTGCTGCTGCTGCTGTTGTTGTTGTTGTTGTTGTTATTGTTGTTGTTGCCGTTGTTATTGTTGGTGTTGTTGGCGTTGTTGTTGCTGCTGCTTTTGTTGCTGTTGTTGTTGCTGTTGTTGTCGTTGTTGTTGTTGTTGTTGCTGCTGTGTTTGTTGCTGTTGCCGTTGTTGTTGCCGTTATTACTGCCGTTGTTGTTGTTGTTGTTGTTGTTGTTGCCGTTGTTGTTATTGTTGTTGTTGTTGTTTTTGTTGTTGTTGTTGTTGTTGTTGTTGTTGTTGTTGTTGTTGTGGTTGTTGTTGTTGTTGCTATTGTTGTTGTGGTTGTGGTTATTGTTGTGGTTGTTGTTGTTGTTGTCGTTGTTGTTGTTGTGGTTGTTGTTGTGGTTGTTGTTGTTGAACACTATTACTTCTAAAGAATTATTATTGTTGGACCCCCTGGTGCACGCCCCCCGCCCAAAACCTAGGCCGCAGCTACATTTTCATCATTTTTCTGCGAAAGCTTCAGAAAAGTGGATTACCCCCGGATCCGGTTTTTTGTTGACGCTCGTTTTCCCTTGCAAAAAACAATAGAAAATGAAAATTCTTGTTCTTAGTTGATCAAATTTCAAGAATCCCTTGCAAAAAATAAGGTAAAGTGGACATTCGCGCTCGCAAGACGAAATCCTTCCAAAACCTTAGGTTTCGTAGCGATTTTAACATAAAAACATCAAAAACCCAATGGTTTTTTAAGAAAAAATTGTCAAAATGTCCTTCCGCGCGCTCTTGCGGATTCATAGGAAACACACCACTTTTTAAACATTTCTGTCAAAAGGGTCTTTGCGTGCTACTTCTTCAGGTGCTTTGAACTTCTCCAACAACGGTTGCGCGCCTGCGAGGGCCACCATCCCTTGCAAAAAATGAGACGAAGTGCACATGCGCGCGGCCGCCGCGCGCGCATGTCGAAATCCTGCCAAACACAATGGGTTTTCAATAATTTCAAGATGCGATGTTCAGAAAACATATGAAAACGCACTACTTTCTCATCCGAAAAATCTCGAAATCCATTCGCGGTCTCTTGATGAATCTTTAAAACCCAAGATGGCCCCAACAGGCGCGCAAGATGGCCCCAAGAGGCGTCCATGAGGCCCAAAGAGGCGCCCAAGATGGTCCCAAGAGGCTTCAAGAGGACTCCAAGAGGCCCCCAAGAGGTTCCAGAGAGGCTCCAAGGTGGCTCCAAGAGACCCCCAAGATGGCCCCAGGAGGCGTTCTAGAGGCCCCAAGAGTCCGCCGTGAGGGTCCAATAAGCCCCCAAGAGGCCCCAAGATGGTTCCAAGGAGCCCCCCAAAGGCTGGCTGTGCACGCGCGCGTTGGGCACTGAGAGTTAGGATCATAGCGCCATGAGTCTATGAGCAATGCATGCGTCATCCTTGGGACTGTATAACATCAGTGTAACACATGTACTTCTGTAATCGCATCCCCACGAATTTGCCCCAAAAATGTGACCAACTATCTTGGCACTGCGTACCATCTCACGTGTACCGTGTACCACATCATATGTAACAGATGTGATCAACCTCTGTGGGTGTGTACCCCACGCCAGTGTAGTAGCCAGGGTCGTCCGCACGCCACGAAGTGAAGTGTCCCAACGTCATAGGGCGGGAAGCTGGGTGTGGGTGGTCTCGAAGAGTCGTTTGGATATTTGGTAGAGCTTGAACGGCCCCCCCACGAAGTGGGGGTATTGGCTGGTGTCGCAAGAAAACCCTGGCACTGGGGAGAACACTGAGCGTTCGGGTAAAATGATTGTTGTTGTTGTTGTTGTTGTTGTTGTTGTTGTTGTTGTTGTTGTTGTTGTTGTTGTTATTGTTGCTGTTGTTGCTGTTGTTGTTTGTCCTTACTTCTGTTCGTTGCTGTTCTGTCTCGGGGACCATAGCGCCGCGCACCAATGGACACCCTGGAGCAGTTGTGCCAGGTAACCAGACCCCACGTACTGCCCTCTTAGTGCAAACGCCGCCTCGGGGAACCCTGGGGAAATTCGGACATCATCCAGGCAGCCTCTGAAAACGTGGGAGCACTACTACCCAAACCTGCCTGGCACCTTCCTCTCTTTGTCTCCTCTCCTTCTTCTCCTCCTACTCCTCTGCCTCCGCCTCTTTTTCCTCCTCCTTCCCTCCCTCCCCTCCCTATCGTCCCCCCCCCCCTCCTCGGGGGTAGGTCCTGGTGTGCCAGGACGGGCGCCACGTCAATGCGTCTGTGATGGCGTGGGCAGACCCTCTCGAGACTGTCATGACGCTGACGCTGGACGAGCATCACTGGTTTTACGCCGAGGGCGTCTTGGTGCACAACAAGGGCGGTTCTTGGGATTGACATGTACTCCAGTGACATTCGGCCCCTCCAGCCAATCTGCCTTGGTCTTGGGCCAGGGACCTCGTTGAGGCCTTTTGCGGTCTCTTGGGGGCCTCCTCGGAGCCGGGGTCCTTTTGTAGACCTCTGGGGCCCTCTCGGGTTTTGCTGGTGGTGCCAGGGGCCATCTTGGGCGGGAGGGTCCCAAGGGCCAGTTTGAGATCCCCTTGGGCCTTCTTTGTAGGCCTCTCAGGCCGAGCTCGGGGGCTTCATCTACACCGTCGTGGCAGCCCCTGAAACCGAAAATTTGGCATGCTGGAGGTGTTGACCAAGCGGTGCTAGGACAGGGACAAATATTTCCAGAGCGTTCCGGAACGCTCTCAGAGATTCCAGAACGGCTTGAGAAGGCCGCGGCGCCCGGTACATCTTCCAGAACCGCCGGATCTTCATTTATTCCCGATTATCCCGGTCCGATTTTGTCTTTGTTTTGATTTCGCCGTATGGAAGTATGGATCTCCAGCAACGTCCCCAAGACCTTTTGAGCAGTCACGTGGAACGGCCTGGAAGCGCGCGGGAACGCCCAGGCAGGCATGGTATTCTGGGGGTCTCGGTCCCCAGAGAATGTTGAATACAGTGCTTCCTATTTCAAGGACTCGAGGGAGGGCCGTCGGAGCCAAAGGCCCCCGTGGATCATGGATGAGGAGGGGGAGGAGGAAGAGGGGAAAGGGAAGGTCGTGCTGGGCGACCAGGTCGTGCAGTGCATCATGGGCGTCTACCACGGTTGCCATCTTCTACGCTCACCTAGGTCTAATTTGCCGACCACAACGCCTAAGTCGGTACTTGTCAAGTCGGCCGCCGATCTACAAACGGACGCTACGATCCCAGTGGGTCTAAGTTCGCCAAGCGTCAAGCAACGGGAAGGCCCTGCCGCTCGTTCCCCCCGTCGTCCGTTCGTCTTTGATGCGTCCTCTCTCGCTCGGTTTCCTGCCTTCTCGCTGCTTTCGTCTCCGTTTCGTGTCTCCGGGTTTTCTCCCCCTTTTCGTCTTCGGTTTCCTCATTGCTGCCCTTGCTGTTGCTTCCACAGATTGCGTTGAGCGTTTTGGTAACGATGCATGGTTCTGTGCAGATGGCGGTCTCTGTCACGGGGTCTTCGCATCGCCTGAGCAGCAGAGAACAGGACGTGAGGGAGGAGGACCAGAGTCAGCGCTGCAATGCACCTTCTGGCTCCTGTCCCAACTGTTTTCTTCAGGATCGCAGGCGCGCGTGCTGCTGCGCTTCGGGGCGCGCCCCCCTTGACGGGCGAGCGCCCCGCGGACCTGGCGGTCGGGCTGAACCCTTTTTGTCAATTGGACGCCGCTCATTTTTGGCAAGGGGAAGTGCAGAAGGAGTAGGGTCATAAGGTTCAAGTACGTCCCGATCGGCGTGTTGGTCTTGCAAGAATGGGACCTCCATCCGGGTAGGCGTTGCTCAAGTTAGAGAGCCCCGTTTGACGCCGGAACCTCCCCCCGTCCGCGTGCGCGCTGTTGCGCGATTTTGCGCTTCGGGGGGCCTCGCAGCGTTTGAGCAATGTCAAACGGGAACCCCACTTCGTAAACGAACCGCCCTCCATCCGTGTAACAGTTTGGGGTTGTTCGGAGAAGTGTGCGCGGCGTTGCGCGAGTTTTACATCGTGAAAGGCACGTGTGCCCCATGCGTATTACGGGTGTAATTTGTTAGGACGAAAGCGCGGGCGGCCAAAACCATAAGTCGATGTCGAAAACGATCTGTGTTCCATCGGTGCAAGTTTGCTAGAACAAATTGCGCGCGGCGCCAGCGCGAGATACCCATGCTGAAAACACCAGTCCTCCGTGCGTGTAACAGTCGGAAATTAAGTTTCGAGGTCCGGTGTCGCGAGGGAGTTTTCGGGGGCGCTCCCATTCCGTGCTAACGACACGTCTTGTTGTGTGGCAGGGAGGATTTGTATGTAATGAAAAGGGAGCGGGAGGAACATGAGTAGGAAAATGATGAAGATGATGATCAAACGGGGAACGAAAGAAACGGGGGACGACGACGGTGAGGCCGATTGAGCAAATCAACGTCCAAGAAACGGGACGGGCCCGCCAGGGCTTCGCCTCGCTGGCGCCCTCGTGCCCGCCCCTGGGCGCCCTCGTGGCCCTCGTGGGCATCTCGTGGGCGCCCCGTGCCGCGGGTTGATCCGCCAGGGCTTCGCCTCGTTGGCGCCGCCCTCGTGCCCGCCCGTGGGCGCCCTCGTGGGCATTTCGTGGGCGCCCCGTGTTCCGGGCGGATGGCGTAGCTTAGACCACACAGCTCACGCAGCAGGGCTCACGCCGCGTGGCCTAAACCTCGCGGCTCACACCACACAGGTCGCACCGCAGTGTTCGTCACACCGCAACTCACACCACGCAGCTTCGCAGTCCAGCCGACACCGCATAGCTCTCACGGCATAGCCAACACCGCAGGGCTGACATCACACGGTGCCTTCCGCGTAGCTTGCACGACGTAGCTGACACCGCACGGCTTACTCCGCATACAGTCGGGGCCCTGAAGAAAGAACGCTTTTCGTTGGGGAGGGCTTCGGTGTTTCTTGATTGTTTTACGATTTGTCTTGGGTTTCCCTTCGGTCTTCCATGGGGAACCGAAGCTTAACCTATGGGGAAAAAGGGGCTCCTTCCTTATTTAGGGTTCCTTAGGTCAACGCTCCGCAGGTACGATCCAGGAAGCAGAAGGCGGCCCTGGGAACTTGACGCGCCAGTGGCCTGGGCGGGGGGAGGTGAGGGCTGGGCGGGGGCTGTTTCTTTCCTCCACAGGCTTCGGGGGCCACAGCTCCACAGGCTTCGGGGGACACGGTATCGGCCACACCGCGTACAGGAGCAACCCCTTAGCGGCGGCCACCTACGTCCCGAGGTCCCACTTCAGCTCGTTGGGCACCTTTGCAATGTTTGCCATGACGGAGCACGTTCGTCGCAGACGGAACCTCTGGGGAACTGGTGCGCGAGACGGCTGCATCTACGGGGCGACGATCGCCGCCGACGGATACGACAACGAGAGCGTGATAGCCAACGTCAACGCCACCTGCCGACGCCACATGCCCTCCGTCGAGGCCTGCTTCGCGTGCGACTCGTGCCAGACCGCACGGTGCCTCAAAAACCTGACGGGCTGCGCCGCCTTCCTCGAGGAGCTGTACGCCGGAGGGTGCCGGCAGATCGACGACCAGCAGAGCATGCTGGCGGGCGTCCACCGTGGCGGCCTAGCTGTCCGAAGGGCCAGGGGTCAGCGGTACAGCCTGGGGGGCCCCAAAACATGCACCACCACCACCACCACCACCTCCCTCCCCACGTCCCTCCTCGCTGGAAAGAGGAAAGAGAGGAGGACTCGACGTGGTGGTGGTGCACATTCTTTGAGCCCCCGCAGCTGCCGCTGCCCTTCCAGCGTTGCCACGGTTGGATTCGCTTCGAATTTCTGGTCAGAACGCTGCCCCGGAGAGGTCTTGGGGAGTACATGTCGGTACATGTTGGTTCTGCTCCCCCATGGGGGGCCCAGGGACCGAAAAGCGGTCGCTCCCTGGGAAGCAGGCTCGGCCGGCTGTGGGCAGTGTTATTTTCTGCGCGGAGAGATTCTGTTTGGGTGCCCCTGGGCCCCGCTGGCCCTTCGTGCGGCCAGGCGGCCGTCGAAGCCTTCCTTCTATTGCTGCTCTCGTTCTGGGGGCTGACCTGGTGCTGCCACCGCAGCGGTTCAATCAACAGCTCTCCCAGGAGCATGGCTAGGTACAGACAGCGTAGACTGCAGCTGAGCCCTATGAACGAGGTGAAGCTCGACAGGGTGTTCTTCGAGGGCGAGTACACGGAGAGAGGGACAACGCAGAATACGACGTATTCGCTTCTCTTCTTGCCCGATGGCATTGTCCGGGGGATCGCCAAGGATGACGACGGCACCGCTCAGGCCCGCTGGGGCGTCGGTGCAACGCATCGCCCTGTGATCGCGGTCGCCGGCAGGTGAGGTGCACAGATGCTCGGCTTCTCAGCAGCTCAGAATCTACGCATCTGACTATGCTAAGGCTTCGGGCCCCCGCGGCTGGTCGGTGCTGGCCTCAACAGGCCCCCAGAGTAGTCCAGAGCGGTCTCAACACCTGAACCCTGGGGAGTTCACGCCGCGCTGGACTAACGTTACTCGGGAGGCCTGAGCACCCGACTTTGCACAGGGAGAGGCTGCGGGGAGGTGCAGTGCGTGGATTGGTCTGCTGCTCAGGTGGACGGCAAACTGCGGTGGAGGAAGGCGCAGGCTGCGGGGGTGATCGTCTGGACCGAGACGGGGCAGCAGACGGTGGAGGTCACTGGGACGATCTCTCAGAGCGAGTCGGGCCACCTGGTCATTTAGGGAAACGAACAATGACATAAACATACAAACTCGGAGGAGGTCCGCGCGGAGTTCTCGCATCGGCACTGGGGCCCCCTGGCGGCGCCTCCGGCGCTGCCCCCTGGCGCGCCCCGCGGGCCTGGGAGGGGGGCCCAGCGCCGATCCAAGGAATCCGCGCTGACCTCAGAGTTTTTCTGTTTATGCCAATTTTCGTTCACCTATCATTCGCGCGACATACGTGTCCAGTTTGTTTGTGGAGGGAACTGTGGACCTCACCTCCTCGTCCTCCGCGGGCATGTTGCTTTCTGGCAGCCCGCCGCTGCCGCTGCCGAACGGGTTCTTGGGAAACAAGCATCAAGTCGGGCGTGTCCCTCTACAGGAGGAGATTCAAAAATGGCGAAAAATTCGCCAGGGGACGATTTTGTGAGTATTTTCGAGCATGTCTGGAGCATTTCTTGACCATTTTTGATCTCTCGTCGACAGTCCGCCTGTAGGAGGACCTGCCCGACCTGAGGCAAGCAGTGGCATACCTCAGGAGGGGAAAAAACACACAGACGCAATTAATCGTCGATTCCCCAGAAAATATGGGAAAATATGGGAAGTGAGGGGGAATACAAAAACCCAGAAAATATGGGAAAATATGGGGAATCTTTTTATTTGTGTGTATTTATTTGTGTGTCCCAGGGCCCCTTTAATACCACACAACACATCGGAGGTCCGCGCGGATCTCCTGGATCGGCGCGGGAGCCCCCCCCTCCCCGGCCCGCGGGGCGTGGCGGGGGCCGCGCCGGAGGCGCCGCCCAGGGGGGGCCCCCGCGCCGAGCCGAGGCATCCCCCCCGCACGGCGACCTCCGACTCCCTGACCTTCCAGGAGGGCTGAAAAAATAGCACGCGACTTAAAAATCTATCCCAGAGCTATTCTATGTCTTGGTTTTAGGCTGTTTCGTTTCGTTTTTTAGGTTTGTAGGCCTCCCGTGCTAAAAAATAGCTCTCTGGAAGGTCAGGGCTTGCTTCGCCCCTGTCCTCGCCCCTTCCGCCAGGTTCCCCGGCAGCGCCGCCGCGCCCCTGCGGCGGGGCGCCGCGCCCGCCGCGGGCGCCGCGCGGCTTGCGCTGTGGCCGCGCCCGGCGCCCCGCGGCTCGGAGTGACTTGCTGCTCCCGCAGCGGTCTGCCCGCGCAGCCGACGGCCACCGCCGGCGCAATACCAAGAAGTTCGGGCCGGGCGAAAGGGGGGGTTACGAAATTTGCTGCATGCAGCTGATTTCGGCCCCGCCGCGGGGCCCATGCCTCGATACATGGGCGCCTCCCGGCGCGGGGAGGCGCTGGTAAAATCAACTACGTGAGCTCATTCTCAAACCCCCCCTTTGCTATCCCCCCCTTTCGCCCGGCCCGAAATACCAAGAAGTCCTCCACCTATCGGGGGCAGCGATAGGGGGGATAGGCATAGGGGGGGGGTGCTCTGTGGGCCCCGGGAACGGCAGGGCCGTTTTTTCACCGTTTCCGCAAAAATGTCCCTCGAAAATGGAAGTGGCAACAAAAACAGCGACCAGAAACGGCAACAAGACGGCTCCAGGATTGGAGCCGGAGCCGGAACCGGTCAAAAAACGGCGACGGAACCGGTAAACAACGGCGTCGGAACTGGTAAAAATTCGGCAAAACGGAACCGGTGAAAAAACGGCCCTGTCGTTCCCAGGGCCCACTAAGGGGGAATGCATCGACCCCCAATCGCCCATTGATCGCCGATACGGGCCCGACAGCCCCAACCTGCACAGGAAGGTGCGGATTCACTATCGGGGGCCCATCGCCGATCCATCGGCGATGTATCGCCGATTTCAGGTCGATGCACCCCCCCTATGCCAGTCCCCCCCCCTATCGTTGCCCCTCACACTAGCACTCCAGCAGGGAAGCGAGCGACGCAGACAGAACTGGCGCTCCTCGCGCAAGGGAGTGGGGGTCTGGCGCCGATCCGAGACATTTGCGCGGACCTCTGAACTTTTTATGTTTATGCATGTTTATGTGATTGTTTGATTCCCTTTTTATGGCTCCAGTTCGCCGGGACTCGGGCTCGCCGCCGCTCTTCGACGGGCCCTTCCCGGGTTCTTCGGCGGTCCGGTGTTCGCGGGGCTGCTGCAGCGGGGGCCCGCGTCAGATTAGGGGGCCACATGCGAACCCTACCCCTACCCCCCAGGATTTTTGAGGAGGAGGGTGGGGTTCACTTCGCTCGGGAGCTCGCGAACGAAGTGGACCCCGCCCTCCCCCAGAGAACTCCTGGGGGGTGGGGGGGCGGGGTTCGCGTGTGGCCGCCTACAGGGTGGGGCCTCGTGTCCATTTCCTGGCGGCCCCGTCAGGCCAACCCGAGTCCCTGCTTCGACGTCGCACTCGCTGCTCGCGGCGTGGGGCCCCCTGGGCGCCCTGGCCCCTTCCCCCCCCCGGGCCGGCCTTCCCTCCTCTTATCGTTTCCGGGGGCCCCGCGGCCAGGGAGCGGCCCTCCAGGGGGGCCGAGAGAGCACCGCAGAGTGGGCCGCCGAGCTCTCCTCCCGCGGCGCCCAGGTGTGGCCGCCGCGGCGCACACGAGGGGCGCGAGCGCGCGTGCGCTGTTTTTTGCTTCTCTGTCTGTGAGGTTACCAGTTTGAAACATATCCCTATGCCTATGTTTGACATCACCTCACCTCGATGCCGATCTTAAGGTTTCCCTCAGTTTCTGAGGGCCCATCCCTAAGATTGTCCTCGCTTTTTGCTCGCCCACCTTAGGGATAGGGATACGTTCGAGGCCGGTTATGAGGGGTGCGGCGACTGTCGCCTCGTCGGGCGGCACGAGACGGCTGTGGGCAGGCCCCCCCCCCTCGGTGCCGAGCGTGGCGCGAGCTCACCACCCACCAAACCACCCCGACCCAACCCGAAGGCTCCAAATTGACCTCCGTTTCCAGTGGGGGGGGTCGGGGAACCTCGAGAAGACACATATGGAAGCCGCACCCTCCCCCCAACCCGAAATTCGGGTCTTCGGGCTGGGTCACGAGCCGCCGCAGCACCGGCCAATGGGGGCAGGCCCGGCTCCCCGCCTGTACAGCGGCGCCCTGCCCAATCCCGCCGCAGCGGGCGTGGCTCCGGCCGCCCAAGCAGGGGCGGCCGTGACTGTAGCTTGCCGCGGGGGAAAAGCGGCCCACGTCGGACGGGGCTAGGTCGAGGAGAAGTCGGCTCCAGTCCTCCCTCGCCCCCTCCGCCCCCCCCCCCACCTGCTCCTCCCTCGCGGCTTACACTCGGACTCAGGAGCAACGTATCCGCCATGCGAGCACAGCCAAGATATAAAGCGCACACAGACACCGAAACATGGGAATCCCTCCTCAAACTCTTGCTCCCTTCTCCTCCTCCTCCTCCTCCTCCTCCTCGAGGCTCCCTCCTCCTCCTCCTCCTCCTCCTCCTCCTCCTCGCCCAGCCTCCCGAGAAGCTCCCCCTCCGCCGCCTTCCGAGGAGAGGCCTGCCCCCCTCTCCCCCCCCCGCGCGGCACGCGCGAAAATGAGGAGGGGGAGAACGAGGAGGAGGAGGAGGAGGCGGATGAGGCGGAGGAGGAGGAGGAGGAGGAGGAGGAGGAGGAGGAGGAGGAGGAGGAGGAGGAGGAGGAGGAGGAGGAAGAGGAGGGAGGAGGAGGGAGGTGGCCGCCCCGCGGGGAGAGGTCGACCGACGCGCGCCGGTGGTGGCCGCGGGCGGTGCCTCCCCGCGGCGCCCTCGGTTCCGAGCCAGCCCGGCAGGGCTCATTTCGGTTCTTTCGGTTCGATGCGGTTCGATTTTGATGGCTTCCGATTCCGATTCGATTCGACTTGGGGTTCCGATGTGGGTTCCGACTTCTTGTTGGAGGCGTACTAGCCTGCCGAGGTCCGCCGATTCGACTTCTCCCGGCCTGGCTGCCGATTTCCGCCGATCCGATCCAGTTCGATCGCCGATCCGACTTGTCGATTCGATTCTGGGCTCTCCTGGCCTGGGGGCTCCTCCCCTCCTCAGGGGGGCAACGTTAGAATGGCTCAGGGGTGGGGGTGCATCGACCCCCTCGGCGGCGAGCGAGGGGGGGAGTAAGAAGGGGCGGGCCTTCTCAGTAGGCTCCGAAGTCCCCCAGCCTTCTCTGAGAAGTTCAGAGCGTGAATTACCTACCCCGCTTTCGCTTCCAGGCAAAACCAAGTCATACCATACGCCTCCTCGTCAAGCGGCCTGACCAGTACATGCCACAGTTTGGCATCGCTTGGTATCTCTTGGACGCGAGGGTGGTCAAAAGCGAGGTAGGTTCGTTTGCTTCCTAGAAGTTTCCTGAGCCTCCCTCCCCCGAAGACACAGGACGCTTCTCGGGAGGCGCGAGGGCTCCTGAGAAGTCCCGCCGCCCCCTGAGAAGGCCTTCTCCTCCTCACTGCCCCCCCCGCTCGCCGCCAGTCTTACGTCGGGCATGTCCCTCTACAGGAGGGAAATTCAAACATACTAAAGAAATCGTCGGGGGTCAGTTTTTTTTGTGTTTGTTTTTTTGTGTGTTTTTTTCTTTTTTGTTTTTTCTTTTTTGTTTTTTTGTTTGATGTTTTTTTTGACTATTTGGAGCAGTTCTGGAGTATTCTTTTATTTTTCGTCCACAGCCCGCCTGTGGGAGTACATGCCCCGACCTAACGCCAATCCCCAATCGCCCATGCACCGCCGATGGGGGCCCGACAGCCCACATCGCCCAGGAGCGTGCGGATCTGCCCTCGGGCGCCCATCGCCGATCCCTCGGCGAGGTACCGCCGATTGGGGCTCGATGCTGCTTTCCTGGCGCTGGCCCCCGCCCCCCCCCGTTGCCCCTCACCTCCCCCGCCACGCCTCCTCCGCTGCCTGGCCAGGGAGGGATCGGGCCGGACGAAAGGGGGGGGGTTATAGGGAGAGGGGGGGTTGCGAAATCTGCTGCATGCAGCTGGTTTCGGCCCCGCCGCCGGGCCCACTCCTCGATACATGGCCGCCTCCCGATCAGCTACGTGAGCTGATTCTCAAATCCCCCTTTGCTATCCCTCCCTTTCGCCCAGCCCGAAGGGAGGGGTGGCCGAGCGGAGAGGACGCTCGGTGGCAGACGGCACCGGCGGCGGGCGATGTTTGCAAGAGTTCACGCTGCCGAGACAGCAGATCAGCATCACTCACACGTGCTTGTACTCCGGTGGGGGGCGTTCGCTAAGGAATGTGCCCAGGATGCTTCAGACCCTGGAGGATTCTTTAACTGCCTGACTTGGGCGGCAGTGTTATCCATGGCCAGTGCACCAATTCGAGTTTCACCGACTTGCAGACCCTGGATTCCTTCTCCGATGGTTCCCTATCCAATGCCCTCACCGTATGCAGCTGCCTGCGGCAAACCCCGCCACCGTGCCTGTGCAACAAACAGCGCCTCAGGAAGGAGAGTACGTACTGTGCAGGAGGGGCGCGATTCCCGCGACAGGTCTGGACTGGGACGGGTCGTCAACTCGATCTCGTCTTCGTCTGCGCGGTAGGGGGAAGATCAAGTTCGCGCTCCCCGTTGCAGTTCGGCGAGCAGTCTGAACTGAGGCGGGTCGTGAACTCGATCCCATCTTCGCCGGCGCAGTAGGGAGGGAGGGAGGGAGGGACGAAGGGAGCTCCAGAGGCTCCAGAGGAATAGAGGGAGGGGGACTCTCTGCCGGCTTCCTGGGAGTCTGTTTTTGGGGCCTTTGGGGCCTCTTGGACCGTCTTAGGGAGCCCTTGGTCTGTGTAACGCCTTCGGATGCCGTCTCCAGGGCCCTCTCTGGGCCATCCTGGTGCCCGCTTTGAGCCCTGTAGGGCCGTCTTGGAGTCCTCTTGTGAGGTCCTTGGGCGATCTTGGGGTCCTGATGGGCCGACTTGGGGCTCTCTTCGAGAGCCTCATGGGCTTCGAGCTATCTTGGAGGCCTCTTGGGCCGTCGTGGGCGGTCGGAAGCCGAAACAGACGAGAATCTCAAACTCATTGAACAAACGTCGGAGGCAAATCAATGTTTTCGCATCCTCGGAGACCTCCTGGGGCCTCTCGGGAGCTTCTTCGGGCCCTCTTTTTGAGGGCCTCGTGGGCTGTCCTAGCGTTGTCTTGGAGCCCTCTTGGGCCGTCTTGGGCGGTCGGAAACCGAAATAGGCGTGAACGTGAAAGTCATTGAAGAACCATATGGAAGTCAATGTTGTGCGGCCTTCTCGGGCTCTCCTGGAGGGCCTCTTGGAGTCCTCCTGGGCCTTATCACTGCCCTCTTGGGCTGCCTTGAGGCCGTCTTGAGAGCCTCGTAAGCCATCTTGGGTCCTCTGGGTCCGTCTGGGTGTCATCGTGGCTGCCTTGGACGCCGTACTGGAAAGGAGCGCCGGAGAGCAAATTCAGGGGGACGATTTTTGGACCACGCGCGGGTCAAGGAGGAGGGGGAGGAGGAGGAGGAGGAGGAGGAGGAGGAGGAGGAGGAGGGGAAGGGGACGATCTTCAGACCACGTGCGGGTCGGGGGGGGGGGGCGGCCATAGAAATCATGCGTCAAACATCTCACTGACAACAAGCGAGCGTTTTAGCGCGCCCACTCTGTGCAGGCACGGTGGAGGATGTGCGCGTCGCCCCCCTGTGCTGACGCGCGCGCGCTCAGAAATCTTTCAGCGTCTGCTCGGTTGCGGGCGCTCTCTGGCCACAACCGCCGGGGCAGCGATGTGCTACAGGGTGTATTCGGTCTCTGGTCGGTTCGGACGTGCGCCTGCAAGGGTGGCGCACAGTGCTACTGTGATGTGCTTCCGCGTCCCGGCAGTGTCTACTTCGGTCCTGTCGGTCTGGGCCGATGTCGACTCCAGCCGGCCCGGTGCTTTTCGATCCCGCTGCTCTGGCGGTCCGATGCGGCCCGGGTGCCAGCATGGCGACGCTGCGAACATTGATCCGATATTCGACTCCGTGCCAAGGCCTCCCGTCACCACCTACCAAACCACCCCAACCCAACCCGAAGGCCTCAAGTTGCCCTCCATTTCCATTGGGGGGGGGGGTCGGGGAACGTTGACAAAAACACATATGGAGCCCGTAATTACCCCCCACAACCCGAAATTCGAGTCTTCGGGTTGGGTTGGGGTTGTCTGGTAGGTAGTCATCGACTCCGTGACAAGGCCCCCCGATCCTGCGCACTCTTCGATTCGACTCGTTTTTCCAACTTTGTGCTGACTGGCTCTGGATGGCGGGAGCCTTCGCATCAACCTTTTTGCTAGGATGTGATTCCCGGGAGGTTGGATTCGGGATCGGCGCCGGTGTATCCCTGGTCGAGCGCCAGCCTAATATGGCATAGTCCTGCATTATCCGTCGTATTTCCGCTTCAGCCGGCTGGAACCGATCAATCCCGGGCCAAATCCGGCTTAATCCCGGACCGAACCTGGCTTCGTGGCCCTTGGATCGGGCTTAATCACCCTCAGTCGTTCTTGCGGAGGCCTCCAGGGAGTTGCCTCCGAAACTTCGCATCAGTCTCCTCCTTCGAGGTGGCGCTTTCTGGTGAGCACCACGAGGACGGGGACTACGCGGCCGCCGCGCAGGCGGCGGAGGAGGCGAGGGCCCTGGCGGCCACTCTCGAGGAGCGCCCTGCGCCCCCGGGGCCACGTGGGCATCTTGGCCCCGTGGCAATGCTGCGTGCCTCCTGCGAAGCACGCGCGAGGGCTTGGGGGCTCTGTGCCTGCCAGCCTCCCGCCGCCCCGCCGCTCTCTCTCTCTCTCTCTCTCTCTCTCTCCGCCGCTGCCCTGCCGCCGCCTTCGGCACGCAGGGCTCCTGAACACCGTGGCTCGCTGGGAACGCCGCCCTCGGGCGCGCTCGACAGAAAACGGAAACGCACCGTCTTTCCTTTCGCTGCGGGCCACTCTGCCGTTCGTATCACTGTATCTCCCTTTTGTGTTGGTTGCCACAGGGATGCCCACAGTAGTTTTCGAGTCTCTAGCCAGACTTCGGGTACAGTTGTAGTGCCTGTCTGGTCAACACAAGCATCGCGACCGCGCATTTGAATGACATTGTTGACGCTTCGCGAATCCCCACCGGCCCATCCAGAAACGATGCCCAAAATAATTGCCTCGATCAGGGAAGTGGGCAGCGCACAGGGGAAACCATTATGAGACATCTTGGGATATCTTGAGCCATCTTGGAGGTCATGTTGGGCTCCCCAGGCGATCCTGGGGTCATCTTAATCAGTGCCCCCCCCCAAGAGGCCAACATGTGGCTAAAACCTTCATTGAATTAATCATTTGGCATTGTCGCCGAGGCCTCTTGGAGCATCTTGTGTGCCTCTGGGGGGACCCTTGGGGCCTCTTGGGGGTCTCTTGGGGGCCTCCTGGGGGCCTCTTGGGGGCCTCTTGGGGCCATCTTGGGACCTCTTGGGGCCTCTTGGGCGCTTCTTTGGGCCATCTTGGAGGAGATCGATCACACAAGAGGGGAGCTTAGATTAGGGTCCCCCCCCAGGAGGCCGAAATGGGGCCGACACCCCAGTAGCACCCATGATTGTGGCTTCCTCGCCGAGGCCGTTTAGGACGCTCCGACGACTCGCGGAACCCCCTGTCCAGGTCCATGGGGAGGGGGTATGGGGGAAGGGTCAGCCCCTCCCCGAAGGGGAAAAAGGAAGGGTGGAAGAGGACATTCTCTAAACCACCGACGCCCAGAGGGCCGGTGGGATTCGCGATGCGCCACGAGAAAAGAAGCAGACGACTCCTGGTTATTGCGCGTTGTATTGCACTCCGCACCCTTCAACCATGCATGGGGCAGATTCAGACCCAATTGTTCTTGCAGTTCAGCTACTTTGGTGATGTCATATTCATTCTAGTGCGATCAGATTCGTGTTGCACTGTGTTCCGAGCGATATTACAATCAGTGTCTAGACAGAAAAAAAGGGGTTTGTGTGCGGCCACGTTCCCAGATTCCTCGTTCCGGGTTCCGGACCGATTTCGGTGGGCGGCAGATTTTTTGGATTTCTTTTACGCGTTCTGGGCCACTGTTGGTGGGTCGTCGTGTTCCCCGTTTCCGGGGTTCTTTCGGATGAAATCTGGACGCATATGTATACACATACACACACATCGATATACGCAAATATTGATACGTGTTTATGCATGCATGTATGCATGTATGCATGTCTACATGTATGTGTGTCTGTCTGTATGAATGTATGTATGAATGAAGGTACCACTCTATGCATACAGTTGTAACTATGCACACCAAATTTCTGTATATGCCCATGCGTGTATATGTGTATATGATTGTATACATCGAGTTGGCGTGTACATATATACATATATACGCATATATACAATTACATTTGTAGAACTGTATATATATATATATATATATACATGTTTGTATGTATGTATGTATGTATGTATGTATGTATGTATGTATGTAGGTATGTAGGTATGTATGTATGTATGTATGTATGTATGTATGTATATATATATATATCATGGACGTCGACCCATCCCGCCACCGCGTCTGGTGCTCAGTTCGTGCTGTTGTTTTGGTTGCTCCTGGAGCTGTTGCTGCTCACTCTTGCCGCTGCTGCTGCTGCTGCTGCTACCCCTCCTCGTATTTGTGTCCTCTTGCGGCTCTTACTCCTCCGGTGTTGCTCTTGGTCCTGCTTCTCCTCCTTGTGCTTCTCTGGCTGCTTTGCCTGGTGTTCCTCCTGCTGCTCCTCCTGCTGTTCTTCCTGTTGCTTTTCGTGCTGTTTGTTGGGCTGCTCCTCCTGCTACTGCTACTCATTCTTGCTGTTGCTGCTGTTCTCGTCCTCCAATTTCTTCTTCTCCTCCTCTCCTTTCTCTTTCTCCTTCCTCTTCTTACTCCTCCGGTAGCCTTGTATAGCTAGCTCGCCCCACCGCCCCTTGTAATCGTCTGTGCCTTCCGCCGCCGTTTTTGCTCGGGGGCACAGAATGTGATCAATTTCCGTGCCCGCAGTTTTTTGCTATTTGTCCGCCTTAGGCAGCAATAGGTATTCTCCATTTTTCCGCTCACCCTTTGCATCCTTAGTTGTTAGCGGGGTTTCGGTTCTGCGACCACGACTTCTCCTGGCTCCATGGCCCGCGTGGTGCTGCCTCTGCCCTGCCAGGCCCCGAAGGCCACGGCTCCTAAGACCTGTGTTCTACCAGCTGGCCATCGCCACCCTGCACCGCATTCGTCATGATCGTCCCCGTCCTCGTTAAACGGAATCCCCCTGATCCCAACCTTTACAAGGACACCGAGTTCTGAAAGGTCGTCCCGCCTGAGCACAACTGGAGCAAGGTCGGCATCAATAACACCAAGGACAGCGGCGCCCCCCCGCCGCTGCCTGCTTCCGTTTTGGGGCGTAGTACTCGAACCATCCAGAGATATGGTAGAGGGCTGCATGATCCACGTCGTTCCCAAGATCGCGGCGTCAGAGGCTTCGGCTCCGATCGCGCAGGTGGGCGCTTGGCGCGCGTGAATCGGCCGTGGGCGTGGGCGCCGACGTCGCGTTGGATTCTCGTGATTTCGCGGCGGGCATTGCCGACGTCGCCGAGAGCTGCGCCATGACCACGGCCGGGCCCGACAGCGAGGCTTGGCCCAGCGCGACCGCCCAGGCCACGGCGATCCAGATGGCGCCCTGCGCCTCGAAGGGCTGCCGCACCTCGACCTGCGCGGCCGCGATTTGGCATCGCTCGGACGTGTGTTTTTTTCTTTGCGGCGAGAACCGCCGAGTAGAGTCCTGGATGGTCGTGGGAAAGATTCGCGCGAATCTTCGACATGCGCATGGAATGGTCGTCCGAGCGATGGCAAGGTGATCGGCGTGCGCTTCAGGAATATTCTTTTCCTGAAAACACCACCCTGTCCAGGGCGCCGAAGTTCCGCCAGGAGGCAGTCGAGCTGCTGGCTTTCGGCGCTGGCGCGACGTCCCTGATGCCAGAGGGGAACTCTCGTTGGCTTCGACGAAACCCGCGTCAGACGCGGTGAACTTTTTATGCCGTGCTTCCCCGGCAGCGCCGTGGTCTCGGTGAGGGTGCCGGGCAGCGCGGTGGCCCCACGCGCCATGGAACATTTCCGCGTCGGCGATTCCGTGCGCGCCGGCAGGAGCTTCAGCGGGATTTCGTTTTCATTGACTGCCAGGGAATCAGGGAACCGCGCGGACAAATGCTTCGGACGTCTGCGGGCGGTTCTTCCGGTGGCGCCAGGCCCCCTCCCCGCGCCGCTCGGCGGCGTCTCTGCCCCGGGCGCGCTTCCCGCGAGGAGCCTGAGGACGGGGGCAAGGTGGGGATCAGGGCTGGCGGGGAGACCGCCCGCGGACGTCCGAAGTGCATTTTGACGCCTGCAGTTTCTTGCTTTCTGATCGCGCGTCAGGCATGGAGTCCGAGCGCGCGTCCGGCCATGAGCTTTCCCTGGGCGCCGACCACATCGTGCGCGGTCGCGCGGAGTCGACGCCAGCGCTTGATGGGTCAGGTCTCGAAGGACTTGTCGCGGACCAGCGCGGGCGTTCACGCCGCGTTTGTAGCATCGCGGGTTGTTCAAGTGCAGCGCGGGTTGGGCCGTTGCAGCCATGCGCCCTTCACTGGGAAGGGTTCAGTGGTGGTGAACGGCGTCCTTTCGCCGAGCTACGCGAATGTCAAGCGCTTGCGTTGGGTGCCCAGGATTCGTTGTGAGCGGCACGACGTGAACAGGAGTATGCATGAGCCCCTGGGCCTCGCGTGCAGCCTGGTGCCCTCGTTGTGCGGCCGCGTGTGGTATTGCGAAGGCCTTGCGGCCGGTGCCGCCGACGCTGAAAGGGGACGTCGACGACGGCGGCAGTGGCGGCGGCGACGACGACGACTCTGACGTGGGCCCGAGCCTTCAGGGATGCTTCTTGGGGTCTTTTGGGAAGGCTCTCGGGAGCCCCTGGGGGGGAATTTTGGGGTGTTTTGGGGACCTCATGCGGGGGCCTCTTGGGAGCCTTTTCGGGTGTCCTTGGGGCCCATGGGGAACCTCTTGGGGCCTTCTGGGAGCTTGTCGGGGCTGGGGGCTCGAAGTGACGTTTCGGGTTCCCCGTGAAAGCACGCTCTTGTAACCGTTTTGGGGGCTTCTTGGGCCGTCTTGGAGGCGTTTTGGGCTGTCTTGATGTGCTCTGGGGATGTTCTGGAGCGCTTTTGGGAGCCTCTTGGGCCGTCATGGGGCGATCTGGAGGGCCTTTTCGGTCGTCTTGGAGCGGCGGGAAGCGGAAAAGGTGATAACGCCCAAATATGTGAAACACCCAAGGCAAACCAATCGTTTTTACCTCTTAGGGCCCTCTCGGGGGTGCCTATGGAGGCCTCTTCTCGGGGAGCCTTGGAGGTCTCCTGGGCGGTCTGGGGACGTGCAGGCGTTTTGGGCCGATCGTTTGGCGATTGGGGGCCCTCTTGGACCGTTTCGGGGGCTTTTTGGGGCAATCGGGGCTTGTTTTTGTATTTTGTGCAGCCCTGGGACCCCCACAGGGGGATGTGTATCTGACCCCCCCACAGTGGGACCCCCTGGGACCCTCCCCCACTTCGACGGGGGAGGGATCAAAGGATCACAGGGAAGGGGCTTCCCTTCGATTCGATTACGACATTGGCGGGTTTTCCTCTCGCTGACAGATTTGAGGAGGGTGCAGGGAAAGGGGACGACGCAGACGACGAATGACAGAGGCGACGATTCGAACAGACAAACCCCTCGAGCATGCCGACAGGGTCGGCGGATTCTGCGGAGGGCCGCCGCACGCGGACCCGCTTCATCCTGGACAGGTTCGGGTGGCTGCAGGCCATGAGCAGCGACCGCAGCGACTTTCGCTCCGCCCTGGTCGTGGCTTGCCGGCCTCGCGCAGCCCGATACAGCGGAGCTGCTGTCGGCAGCGTTCGGCCAGGCGCCCCGCGTCACTTTGTTGGCCGTCGCGGCAGCAGCCCTCGCGGTCGCGCGCCGCAGGAACACGGCCAAGAGGGACCGAACGCATCTGAGCGCCCGCTTGCGCCCGCTGAGGAGCGGCGCAGCGCCGCTCAGTTTTGCACGGCCTCTAGTGTAGGGTCTTTCTACAGGGCCTTTTTATAGCTTTATACGGTCTCTTCGTCGGGTCTTTCTCTTGGCCCTCTCAGATGGCACCGTGGCTGCCCTTGACGGTGGAAGAAACATGCAGAACACATTATCTGATGTGTCGGTCAGAACCTCGATGGCCGAGAGCATTCGCACCTGGGGAGGGTTGGCCCCGGGAGGCTCTCCGTCACCATCCTGATTTTTTTCTTGCCATGCTTCCAACGAGCCCGCAAGCGTACATTGGGATACGTTTGTGAACGATTGCGAACGCATTCCAATGTGTTGATCATCTGTAAGGAATTGCCAGCACCCGTCTGCTATGTGACGGTGGCCCAGCCTGCTCTAGAACCTAAGCGCGCACGAAGCTCTCGCGTGGTTCTGGTATGTGTATGTATGGTGTAGGTCTGTAGGTCTGTATGGCTGTTTGTCCGTATGTCTGTATGTATGTATGTAGGTATGTATATGTATGTATGTATGCATGCATGCATGCATGTATGTGTATATAGTTTTACACGCAAGCATACATACAACCATACATTTTCACATGCACGCATATGTTGACATTTTTGCAAGGAAACCTCACGGGTAATGAGGGACATGGAGGATGTGGGAGTGACGTTGCTGCTGCTGATGATGACGATGATGCTGCTGCTGTTCATGATGATGATTATTATGATGGTGATGTTGTTGATGATGATGATGACGATGACGATGAGGATGATGATGATGCTGACGATGATGATGATGGTGATGATGATGATGATGCGAATGATGATGATGATGATGATGATGATGATGATGATGATGATGTTGCTGATGATGATGATGCTGATGATGATGGTGATGATGATGATGATGATGATGATGGTGGTGGTGGTGATGATGATGATGACGATGATGATGATACTGATGATGATGATGATGATGATGATGATGCTGATGATGCTGTTGATGATGACTATGATGATGATGATGATGATGATGATGATGATGATGATGATGATGATGATGATGATGATGATGCTGGTGATGATGGTGGTGGTGGTGATGATGATGATGATGATGCTGCTGATGATGATGCTGCTGATGATGATGATGATGATGATGATGCTGATGATGATGCTGATGATGATGATGATGATGATGATGATGATGATGATGATGATGCTGCTGCTGCTGCTGCTGCTGCTGCTGCTGATGATGATGATGATGATGATGATGATGATGATGATGATGATGATGATGATGATGATGATGATGATGAGGGGAGGAGGAGGAGGAGGAGGAGGAGGAGGGAGGAGGAGGATGAGGAGGGAGGAGGAGGAGGAGAGGGAGGAGAGGAAGAGGAGGAGGAGGAGGAGGAGGAGGAGGAGGAGGAGGAGGAGGAGGAGGAGGAGGAGGAGGAGGAGGAGGATGTGGAGGAGAAGGAGGAGGGGGATGAGGAGGAAACAAACGAGGAATATGAGGAGCTGGAGGAGGAGGATGAACTGGAGGATGATGAGGAGAAACCACGGGGACGGAGGAGGTGAATGAGGGAGTGGGATAAGGAGTCAGGAGGAGGATCGGGAGGAGGGGGGGCGGTAAGGAGGAAAAGGGAGACGAAGGATGGGTGTGGGCGGCCATGGCGATGAGGAGGCGGAGCAGCACATGTAGATGGAGGGGGCCGCCAGTGGGCTCCGCAGGACCCAGAGGCGCTGGGCGCCGCGCTGGTGGCCCTGGCGTCCTCGCACCTCCGGCTCGGGCTGAGCGCCCTGGCCCTTCAGGAGCCGCCGCCGCCGCTGCCGCCGCCCTCGCCGTCGTTGTTGACGCCGCCGCCGCCGCGGGCGTGGTTGATCCGGTTGATCCCAACGGCAGGGGGCCGCGCTCGAGCGAGCCCGAACCTGCCGCGCGAGGCGACCGTGCTGGTCATCGTGCGGCGCCTTCTGCACCGTCCACGCCTTCTGTCGGCTTGTCGTCGCCGCCGTTGTTGCCGTCGCCGCCGCCGCCGTCGCCGTCGCGGTCATGGCAGCGGCGGCGAGTGGGGAGGGCAGCAGGAGTCTGGGGGGTAAGATGGGAAGTAGGGGGGGAAGGAGGTGGGGGGAGGAGGAGTGGGAGGAGGAGGAGGAGGAACAGGACCAGTGTAATCCCAAGAAGTATCAACGATGCTGCAATGAACCCTTTCTCCACATTCCCTCTTCATGGCCCCGCAAGAATCTATGCTCATTGCGGGAACTGGCTTGTTATAACACAGCCGTCTGAGAACCTTCGATCTGGCCGAAACGCAGTTCTTGAGACTTCTGACGATCGAACAACACGCACCCATACCCATAGGGGGGACGGAGGAGGCTATGGGTGCGTGTTGTCGGATGGGGGTCCCTGCTCGAACGGGAGCGTTCCCTAGGGTCCGACAACCCGCCCCCATACCCATAGCCAGTCCTCCTCCCAACGACCCCCGTATGGGTATGGGTGTGTGTTGTTCGTTCGTCAACTTCAGCGCCGCGGATCAACGTGACTGACATGTCCTGACAATCTTGAATCCATCAGACCACCATTCCTGAGACTTCAGTGCGGCGAACCAACGTGACGGCTGCGTCGTGACAGCCCTACTTCTCGCCAGAACATCATTTCGGGGATTTCAGCCAAACGAATTCTTGATTCAGCTGAACACTTTTAACGAATGTGCGCGGTGTTTCATGCGTGAACCACTTTTGGAAAAATGCCGGCCTCCATCCTTGAAGCTGTTGCAAACTCTTAAAGACGACAGTTCGCGGCGCTAAGGTGACAGCCACATTTGGACAACCACCCGCCTTCATCAGAGAAACGGCTGCAACTTTTGAGACACATGGAACTATTGTATGCTACCTTCAGCACGTTGCGTGTTCAGAACCGCTGAGGGCCAGACTGCATCCTAGCCCTGTTCGCTGCCAGCGCCCGCGCAACCGCCAAGAAGGGGCCAGCGGTTCGGCGCTTGTTGAGCAGGGGATTGACGGCTTTACCATTTGCCTTCTTCTCGCGCCGTGTCCGCTTGCCCTCGTCTCGCTCCCTCCT